CATAGCTCTCCTCTTCTCAAGTGAAGGAGAACTGTCCTTAGTTGTCACAAATTCTGTAATTAAACAACCCCTGTTCAAGCTCAAACCCTGATCAACACTCTTTTTTTATAAGAACCAGTAAATTTAAGTTCAGGCTGACTGTTCTTAATTTTTTCGAAAATCTAAGGCTGGATTGTTCTTAATTTGTTCTTAAATAAGGAGGGTTTAAGCAGTGCTATTGCTAGCTTTTTCGCTCTAAGGAGGTGTTCAGGCCTCATTTGCCAACAAAGTGAGTGAGACAGCCTTAATTTGCTGAAAAATTTGAATATTCACCGAAAAAGCACCCACACATCGCTAAAAATCCTCGATTTTGAGAAAAAACGTTGTTCAAATTGCATTTTGCAGAAGCTCAGCCTCAGCTTGTTCTTAATTTGTTTTAACTTTTGACCAGTTTTGAGGCTCGTGTTCTTATAAAATTGTTCTTATAAAAAAGAGTGTATAAAGAAAAACAAATCAAAAGCAGGCCCTAACAACACCTCCAGATTGGAGAACAATACTTTTGTTGGGTTCTACACATATTGTGGCTCTAGCCCACCCGCCCCCCAGACAATTTTCATTGCCTCGGGCTTGATCGAACGCAAAATTATAAGGAAGGGAAGCATAGGCTGGAAATTTAGACAAAAAAGATACCTGGCCAAATGTAATTTATGTAATTGACCTAACCCCCTGGAGAGTGCCTTCGTGTTTTGAAAGGCAAAACGAATATTTTATTTGAAAATTTATCAACTTCTCTGTTGTCTGTAAGCGAAAACTTTGTTCAACTGGCAGAACAGGCTGACTAAAAGTACAGAACAAAATAAAGGTGATTTTGTCAGGAAATTATGGTTTGAGAGTTCAGGAAAAGCCTCTAGCCCTCTGAATATCATGATAAAAGAGCACTGCTTTTGTCCTGTCTTATTAATAAGGTCTTCCCATTGTTCTAATGTGAAGTTTCGGATTGTGGTTAGCCAATATACCAAAGGATTATTTGAAATGGCATCACTTTCGATAAGGCATGGCACGCTGCCGTGGCAGCATTTTGCCCGCAAGGATTGTGCTGATTGCCACTATTTCTCAATGAATGGGGCGACAGCTCTCACAACCGACACGAATCTCCTCATAAGACGCGAGGACCGTTAGCGGATCCAAAGTGAGGGACAGAGGAGTTGCTTTGAGAGACAGTGGAGTTGAGAGATAGGGTGGGCAAATAGATGGCGGGTACAAATGGGGTATGGTGTGTGCTTAGATTTTAGAAAATCCTGAAGAACAACAATAATTTTTGTAGTCTTATCGTCCTCTACAATTTTTTTGTTAAAGATCTGCCCAAGAATGGAAACTCCCACAAAAACTCTGCAAGGGGTGTGTCACATTTTATATTTTCAAGAATTACATGTACATTATCCAGCACTAGGATATCTAGGGATTTTGGGAAAGGGGGAATTTTTTCGAAACCAAAAGGATTTTTGCCAAAGGTGAACAAGTTTTAGTGGAACATTATGCCCCTCGAAGCTTCATCCATTATCATAGAATATACTCAAGAAACTTTGTATTGAAACTTTGAAGAATGTGTCAGTTAACAGCCTAGCCGGGGTGACGCCTATGGTTACAGAGTCTGGGAGCTAGTGACCACTGTTAATGACTATTAAGGTGGCCTATAGGGTGAAAGGAAAGGCAACGGGAAGAAAGCTGAGGGTTTCAAAAATGCGAAGAAAATATATGCTATAGGTAAAAAGCTAGAAAGTTTGTGTAATCCAGTTTTATTTTTTACAGCCACCTTATCCAGATATTGTGATGGACTGCATTCAAACCAAAATTTCCTTTTCGGTGATAATGGAATTTTCCAGGGAAACCACTTGCTTCTTGAAGCATTTCCATCTGACTGCCACCTAGAAACATTGCATTTGCACAGCCTCATACCAACTGCTGGGCTAACAGTGAGCGTGCTGCCACAAACAATCAAACATGAACAGACCACTTTTATTGTCGCTATGTTGTCGCCTCATTGATTACTCTATAGTGTTTAATATTTCTGATGTCAAAAAATTATTTCTGCGATCTAATCATTTCACCTTAGTAGCTCAGTATAATGACCCGCGCATTCTTCCGTGGTTCTGTATAAAACGCGAAAATTGCGTGAGCTCCCCCCACTCCCCCCCGTTCCAGCAAAAATTAGGAATGTAATCAGTGATGTCATAGTTTGGCACCTGCCAATGGCGGCAACTCTGCACAGAAGAAAACAGGCTGTCAATCAAATATGCGGCCTCGTCTTACCTATAAACATCAAAGACGCCGCCGTCTATACAGAAAAGCTCCGGCTCGCTATAATGTCGGTACATTTGATCATTAGCCGTGGCCCACTGGCCGCAATATTATGATTTTTATTCCAAAATATTACTATGGCAGTGGAACGGTTGTAGTGTAGAGGTAATTTAAATATACTCTTGTAAAAAGTAAAGAATTGAATCATGCATATCGTGAAAGATTAATTTGAGGTACATGGACATATCGTTCATGGACAAAATGAGCTAATTCACGCCCAATGAAATACGGGGTTAACTTTTCTAACTGTTCAAAGCGGGTTTCAAGTTAAAAAGAAAGAATCAATTTATCATTGCAATGCTCATCATAACCATCAGGCAGAGAAGTTGAAAATTGAATAGATAAACTACTTCCACTTCAAAAGATAGCGAAATTCTGTTTTTAATCTCCTCACCTGGAAATAGTAGGACCGACAAATCAAAAAGGCCTAGCGGGTCTCCACATACTACTCTTTAGGTGTGATAATTTTCTAAGTGGTGCAAATGACTGTTGAATTGCGCAGCTAAAGGCGTCAAATTAAAGCAAGACCAATTCAATGTCATTTACTTCGTTGATTTCAAGTTTCTATAAGAAAATTCGAATCGGTTATTCATGATGATTATAACTTTAATTATTACTAGCATCGTTCATTACAAAAATTGTTGTAAAAGCAAAGCCTGGAAAACCCCCAAATCGTATTCTTTTTTATGTTTCCGTTCTTATCGTTTGCACCCTTTGAAATTGTTACGGTCTTATAAACACAGGCAAACAACTTGCATAATGAAAACGAAATATTTTTTAATGACATGAAGTTTTAAGAGTCATTATTTTTCTATGGTTAGAAAAATTCATGATTGCGATCAGTACAGGGCCCGCACCACCGGGGGGCCGGGGAGGCCATGGAACCTCACTTTTTGCGAAGCAAGTGGTTTTCAAGCTGCAATAAAAGGGGTAAAGAGCCTTGGCCCCCTACATTTTAAGCCTTGCCCCCCCCACTTTCAAATTCGTGGCGTGGGCCCTGCAGTTTAGTTATGAAATACGTCTTTACTAACGTTTTTGCCATGGTATTACACGGGAAAAATATTCTGGTGTCCCTAGGTCTGGTCGCAATAATAATTCTCTGTACCCTCAAAACAGAACTCGAATGCTTCGCCCCTTTATCCAAGGGTGTATTGCTATAAATAAAACAAGGTCCCTTCAAGAAGAATTCCTCCAAATACAATAATGAAAACTAAGAGAATGCTATTTTTGGCATTTCACCCCCCCTCCCTAAGTGCCCCCAGTTTTATACCCCTGCCTTTATCAGATAAATTCTCAGAAGAATCCTGTCTTTGTAACTTTTTTTTATGAACCAAGGCTACCCATTTGCAAATTACCCTAGTAATGGTGACATTTGCAGTTGTATTTCAAGATGAATCGAAAATGAAAAATTTCATTATATGGCAATTATCTTGATGACGAACCATCAGGATGTCGCCAGCGGCTACATGTTATAACGGTTTGTCAGACTTAGCAAGGACTTATCCATCTCCTGTTCACCGGAGTGGAGGGTGTAACCGCGAACGAGAAGGAAGCATCGATGTTTGCATGATTGTGTGTTTGCTTGTTTGTTTGTTTGTGGGTTATGTTAGATTGGTATCATTTCCCTGCTAGACACACTCTTGAAGAATTTCCTGTTATTGTCCGCACTCCAGCGACCCCCGTCTAAAGGCAACGTCAACAACAGGTCCGTTGAGCTCTGGCGACGTTCTAGAGGCGCCTCCGCATGCTGACGGGACGAGTTGGGGGACATCGGCTTTCTCACATTTCAAGGTATATTAAAAGTTTCAGTTCCATTGAAAATGACTTCACACATAAAAGTTAACTAGTTTATAAAGGAGCTACCTTCCATTGCGAGCTCATTCGATTAAAAGTTGTATATATTAAAAAAACACCAAATTTTTTATCAAACTTTGACTAGCAACTAAATATTTACTACATGTACTGTATAATTTTTAATTCAGATCATTAGAGACGAAATTTAATTAAATTTCACCGTTGATATAGCCTGTCAATTAAAATGAATAGTCTAGAAATGGCAAAAATGAGCCAAAAATAAAGACAGTCAAATAATTTATCTTAAATTAATTGAGTATAAAATATACTACTAGAACAAAAGCTATAAAAGACTGTATTGTGATAAAAGTGGTGATTTATCAATATAATTGTCAGTCTTATTTAAAAAATTAATTTTTGCTTGATTAGATTTTCATTTTCAATTTCATCGAGCAGCCTCAGTATTAGTCATTCAAAATTTCTTTGCTCTTCTTCACAAGCAATTACGTTATTTAGAACATATTAATTCATTAATCATGACGAGCATGGCAAATTTGGTAATTATTTATGTGGATCACATTTTCGTACAGACATTTGGTCATAAGCAACTTGTTGAGATGCAGTTTGTTTAGGATATCTATGCTCTTGTATAAATTGAATGCTGTGCCCTAATGATATGGTTTTCAGCCTTTATTTATACCCATCCTGCCCTTTCCATAAATCCCGCGGCACTTGCAAGCGTAAATTAAAATACAGATAGTACGGCCTGTTTAGATAACTTGCACAGTTCTGCGTAGGAGGATAACATAACCGGAGGTCCGGGGCCGCAGGGCAGCGAATCGGTTGGGGGCAGCATGACCAAGGAAGGGCCATGAGTGTTGCATAGTAGAGGAGCTGAAAGGACAGATAGATTTTGTTTTGAAGGGAGACCGCCAGTTTAGGATTGAGTTGCCTGCAATCGATTGTAGTTTTAGTTTAGAGAAAATGCCACAACTGCCAACTAACACGGCAGAGGAATATGGCGCTGATGATGAAGTTAAGGAGTACAGACAAGAGGACGACGAAGGCTCAGAAAACTCCACAGTGGACGTGGTCAATGACATCAAATCTGACTTGATCAAAAAAGACGCGGAAGATCAAACGCTTGACTCGGTAAGTACATGAATTCTACAGATCATCAGCCTTAATACGCATTCGGTTTCCTAGACACTTGATCACTTCCAACATGTATCAAGATTCCCTTTTATTTATTCATTCGTTTGTCTCTTGTTACCATTCTTAGGGCAAAGAAGAAAGCAATTATGTTGAGCTGCATGGGCGCAACATCAAAGGGGAAGCTGCCCAAGGTATTTGCCAGTTTTGTTTACCTACCCCATACCCCAACTTTCTTGGTTCTAGAGAAAAATTTTTGATTCCCGCTTTTTGCTATTTTGGCCTAATTTTGCTTACCTTGGGTAGGAATTCTAGGCTATGGTTTGATATTAAAAAGTTGCTCGTGTTTATCATAGCATTGTCCTTTGATAATTGAGCACGCCGACTTGTTTGTGTTGGATTACGAAAAACTACGTACCTCAAATATTGCAGTTCAGGACTGGGTTAATTCCACGGAAGCTTGTAGATGCGATTTAATTTATTACGGGTGAGTTCGGGATTGAATCGCGCTTCGATTTTCCTAAGGAAATTCGTGATTCACTTTGGTATGTCGCACCAACAATGGATTGCTGCATGCTTGCCAGCGTCAGGGGCATTGATACACCCTTCCTCCCTCCCGATCTCCAAGTTTAAAATTCCTTATCAACTTTTTCACCTCAAAATTTGGTAAGTGCAACATAGTGTTTAGAGCATCAACTGGGAAAATTAGATACATTTCATCGCATTAGGCCCCCTTGAATTGGCGCTTGATATTTGAAGCATAGACAGGCCAGAAATGTTGATGCAGTTTTGTTGATATTCCTTGAAGCATATCCCCATAACATTGGAGGGGCATTTCGTTTTGTCACTCTTGCAAGTTCCCACTCTTGCATTAACGCCCACTCTCCCCTAAATACTTCTCATTTTCTTTTAATGCTTAATTCGAATGTGTCAGCCATAATTTGGTAAAGAAATTCGATATAAATTTTGGAAAATTGTCACGAATTTACATTTGGAATTTTCAATCTAAAATGCATAAGATTTGTGACATAAGAGGCTGCCGCTATTATCTTGAGACAAAGTAATTGTGTTCAAAGGGCGCCGATCTTTTTCAAAAAATGCGTCAAACTCCATTTGCCCTGACCTGCTCAAATTTTATAAGACCACTTTGAAAACTAACACTAACTTTGTTTACTTTATTTAGAAGCATACAGCATATCCTTGATTAGAATTAACTTTACGTAGATTAACCTTAAACTTTTCATCCGCAATGAAATTGATTTCCAAATATTTGCGCTGTAGTCTTGTGAGCGTAGTCATCTTGCTGAATGGTTTTTGTGATTCTTTAAATATTCTTTCGAGTTTCTGTTTCTAATTTGTGTCCCTATTTTAGGAGTATACGGCCGGCCCGCGCCTGTTATAGTAGGACCACATGTGAGTAGCCGTTTATTCTGCTGTTTTAGTAATTATCTCCAGTGGTGGGTTGCCATTGTAGGAAGGGATTTAATCTTTGTTTAAAACTGGACCCGCTGTTATCGAATACAATTTTTATTGTGAATTTTTATCGCTAGTAACACCGATATCAAGTGCGATCTTTAAAATGATATTTGACATTTGTAGCTTTGAGAGCGATGAATCCGTTTTCGGGCAGGATTTCCCGATTTCTTGCTCTATGTCCTCAAGATTGTCTGTCAAGTCCTATTTGTTTACTCAATGACCTTTTCAAATTTCAATGGCGGCATACTTTAAAGAAAACTGTCATTATTTTCTCGTAAGGTCAACAGTATTGGCAGCAGACAATATTAATTTCTATGAGTTGTATACTGCGCCTTCCCTCCCCTGCCCCTTAAAAACAGAATGTGATACTTCAATTGTGTTATTTCGAAGTACTTTTTAGCATCAGTTTGTTACCATAGCCATTTGTCTTGGCACAATAGCTTGTATGAACAGTTGATATGAGACATGAATTATTTTTAGAAACTTGTGGATTGATTTAGCTCCAGTTTTGTTGCTGGTAAACTCATCACAGTATGAGATTAAATTTTCTGATCCAAGCCTAAGAAAGAATTGTTGGTAGTGTAGGGCTCATTTTCTTTCAATTTTAGTCAGTAATAAAAACGCAGGGCAATGTTCCCCTCCTATGGTTGCAATTGTACAGTCAATAAGGACTTACTGAATCTTGAATTTTGTTTCTTGATCTGGTATTATACCTTCCTGTTTATAAATAATTTCAAGTGAGGGACTTGCGAGATGGATGGGTCATCTAGCAAAATCATATGTTCATGTGTTTCATTATGTCATATCAGTGAATGCGATGTAGGCAATTGGTTGATATATTTCATCTGACTGGTGTGTTTCCTCTAATTATGACACAAAATTTTACTTTCCTGCTCGCCAGGTCAAACTCTTATTTGTTAACTACAAGGAAGGCCTGGTCATTTGAGGAGATCAATAGCTCACTCCACTGTGCTCCCCTCAAACGCAGATTGCTCTCCTAAACTCTTCTTCAAACCAAAGTATTTTTGTATTTCTATCAATAGCTCACTTGGAAATTACTAGGAGAGCTGTTAACTGCTCCCCTGCTGAATGTCTTATAGCTGGGCCTGAAGTATACAGTTATGCCATATCAACCTCTTCTTAAATGAACAACACAAAGTGAATTATTTTAATGCCCCAGATATAAAATTGTGGCATAATTTAGCAAGTGTCATTTGCAAGCAATTGTTGGCTCTATAATACAAAGAAATCAGACATTCTTCCATAGCTGTCTAGAAGCTAGAAAGTAAATTTAAAAAAAAAATGAAATTGAGACCATTAACTTCCTTTCCAGAATTCACTAAAAATTACTGTTTACCCGTCTGGTGAAAGGTGATTGGTGTCGTGTTGACAGTGTGCTTGATGAAAAGTTGCCTAATTAATGCATTGAACCTTAAACCCTGAGTAGCAACTTAGAACCATCCTGTTCTAAACACCAAAGCGCATTCCAACATTTATATGCCTAAAATCAATTGGTGGGAATCATTTTCAAAACAAAATGCCTGGTTCCTGAAATGTTTGCTATGGAAAGATTCAGAAAGTTTGTTATTTTTCTGCAGTGCATGGATCGGGTATAATAAGACTTGTAATGTTTTTACTATTCTCTTAAAATATTCATTACCTAGATAAAATTTTGTGTCACTGAAACTATCATATCATTAAATATTTAATGTTTGTTTCATGATAACACATTGGAATTTTTTAGGCAACCCATCATTTCTTGGCATTTTCTCCCAAAAGGCTCATATTTTGGAACCAATTATTTATATACACTTAGCTTACCTTTACAAAATTGACCACAGACACCAAAATTCATAGACTATCCATTTACTTATCTTCATTAGCTATTATAATCTTCCTTCAAATTAGATGCATAAATTGGCTGATAATGGCTAGGAAGACTCTCTTGAGCAGACTGACTGTCAATAAAGCTGTTAGGACTTAATTAATGCTAAATCCATTCTGTATTTGCAGAGATGATAAACAAATTTCCTTTCTGTAATAATTTGAAATTAAAGATCAGGGATGTTGAAACTTTTCTTCATAATTATCCAACATTATTTGGCTTCAGACAGTGTGGTTAGGAGCTGTTTTTAAATTGCTTTTTTGTTTTGCATTGTATTCCATTATTCTACCAAAAATGTAGCCGGCTGTTTGAAATCTAAGGTCAATCCCTGTGATTCCTCCAATGAAGTATTGACATAAGATTGGTTTATTGGCCAGTGACATTTGTTATCTCACCAGAAAATTGTTAAAAATCCAACTTTCCTTGTATTTATTGGTTACGTAATATTTCTTTCCAAGGTAGCAGTCACATCTTATCATTCTCCTCACACCAATTGTATTGAAAGTTGCTCGAAATGAAAAAGAGTTTTCTTGTTGTGACGAAGGAGAGTGTTTAATTGGCTTTTGACGTTTAAGGTCTGCAAAATCTTCGCTTCATTGAGAAATCTTTTTGGATTAAATTTTGTTTGCTTTGTAGAAATATTATTGCACATTCCTATAGAAGTAGGATAGGAGTTGTGTTGAGGTTTGGGCCTTGCCTATATGTTTTATTCTGTTAGTTTACTGATTTCATTCTTCTCAAATATACAGAATAAAGCCCTGCCATTTCTGTCCAAATTTTAATGAATCCATTTTTGCCTTAATAAAGAATATTGTATGTTTTCCAAAACCTGTTGGCCAAACCTGCTACCAACTTTTACTTCTTATCATATTGAAGTTGCTGCTTCTGGATTTCTGTGGAAATCGATTTTTAGGTGTTCAGTGTGGCAGCATTTTATAAAGGTAAAATGCTTAAATACCATAGTTTGTCTCCATTCCATTTCATTTGTTTGATATTTAACCTGCTAATAATGACAAACCAGGTTTTTTTTATTTTTTATTCGTTTTTGGTTCTCTATAAAAGCATATTCAGGCATTGTTTCTATATATATAAATGTCCTTCAGTTATAACCAGAGCATTACAAAAACTAACCGTAACTAACTGAAACTGATATTTTTGCATTATTCAAATACCTTGTCTTTCTTTACTTTCAGTAAGAAGAAAAATTATTTTGGTGTTTAATTCTTGGGTTTTAGGTTCTAAATTCTTTTCCCAAAGGATATTAATTTATTTGCCATATGTTTTTGTATGATACAAACTTTTCGGGATACAGTCATGCCAGATTTCAGCTAGTTGGATTGAACAGTGCTAAATTGCTTTGTGTCACCTTTATTATTTTTTGTCAAGCTTGGATGTTTAATCTGATTTCATGAGGCCATGATGTATATTGAATGAAAAATTAGTCATTATCAAGAAAGAATCTTAAATTTTTTGTTTGTCAAACGGTAATTTTTTACATTCTTTGATTCCAACCAGACTTCAGTAGCCATGTTAACTCTATTTGATATCAATTTCAAAGATTCTGAATAATTTAGGTTTTAATCCATTTAAGTCTAGATGTGTGGATTTGAAATTCGTTTATTTCAGTTAAAATTGTTCTTTTGACATTATTAACAACAGCTTACCATAAACAGTTGTTTATAGGGGCTTTTAATGATCACATGACGGATTTTTTATTTTTTGGTGTAGGTCGTTTGCAGAGGTTGTTTTCAAAATCAGTATGATGTAACTTCATGTAACCAATCTTAGCCACAATACATAATGACCAGCGTATTGGGTTTCCCCCTCCTGTTATCATGACTCGGTGTCTTGTCTAACTTGGTTAAGTTGTCAACTCGAATTTTGAACACTATTTAGATGAATACCGGCGCAATATCTTCTTCTCAATTTAAAGTTGGCTTCCTCTCTCATAACTGCCAGGCTACTAGTACACCTGAATGCTTTCATAAATCCTTTTCTTTTGATATTTTGCTTTCGCATTTGATGTTGAGATGTTGTTCTAGAAACTTCTGGAATATATCGATTCAATAGATAGTGTGAACTTGCTTTCGTTTCCTTGCTATGTTGATGTGAATATTTGCATTTGGTGTGATCTCTAATTCACATCATCTATTCTCCAAAAGCCTATCGGCTATTAAAGTTTTCGTTATTTGGTTATTCGTGATTTACTGTGCACAGTAAAGTGGTAAGATGTAAAGTGCATCAGGGTATCTCATCATTACGTTAATATTTCCATCTTCGTTTGCGCCTCAAGTTACATTGCGATAGGGTCATTTAGATACCACAAGTATCATCTAGATGTTGTTTATTCCTTGGTGGTTTCTCTTGTCTTGGATAATTGATGTCTCTATTTGCTCTAACCAGCTAGTTATGACCCATTTCCCTTGTGTGGTACCAATGCAAGGAATATATCCTTGGGTCTCTATTGATTGCCTCAGGCTGTCTTCGCTTCTCTCTTGATTCATGGGTCCAAGGTAAGGGGGTAAATATTGTATTATGCTTGATTGTTGGTTGCCTAAAGAGCTACTGTAGGTTGTGTGTATTTGAACTGGCAAGCAAGCAAGATATATTGGTCTACAAAGGTTGAGGTTCTGGCAACTAATTGCTGATATTCGAAAGTTTTATTGTCTGTTGTGTAAGAAATTTAATTGTCAATAGTTGTGTCCTCATGGACTTTTCTTGAAAAGCTTTCGATTTTATAAGGAAAAGCAATAGAATCTATTGCTTTTTAACTGTAAAGATGATTGAAATGTAAAAGAAGAAGTACTATTGACCCCAAAAAAGTTGAAAAATTCCCGTGTGGAAGTTTTCTAGATTAACTTCATATGTCGTTGCTGTAGAGCGAGGAATATCTGCTGCATTGCGAAAGTAACCAATAATTAGTTGTCTTGTTTTCTTTGATCAGTCAGTATCCTTTGGTCGGAATTTCTATGACGGTTATATATTATATTGCTTGGATATTATGTACTAACGTCCCGTTTTGTGGTACAATGGCATTATGATGAGTTGAGTACGTATTGCGAGGATTGAATGGTTTTAAGCTCCATCGATCTTCCATGCTCTTTTAAATTCCTTTCTTCTGACCAGTTTTGTTAACGGTTTACACTTTATTCCGTAGTAAAATCTTTGACTAGCGTTATAGCTGGGAAATTCATGCATTCTTTATTCTTCGCTTTTTTAAAAGCGGATATTCAAAATACAGTTACTTGCTATGTTTCTGTCTTTCGCAGTTATAAGTTAGTTTCACCTAAGTTCTTTTTGATGAGGGAAAGTATTTCCAAGATGGTAGCTGATGAAATCTACTTTAACCAATGTAGTTTTTGCAAATAATAATGATTGGAATGTTTTCTATTAAATTATATGCATATGCATAGCATCATGATCACCATCCATTATCATCATCATCCATTATCATCATCATCATTCATTCATTAACTCATTGATCTTTTCATTCATTCGTCATTTTCATCAGATAATTACTCGTCTAAAGTTAGAGGAAAGTTACCAAAACTCTCTCTTCAGTCAAATGAGATTAAAGTTCTCCAAAAGAATAGAGGTTTCCAAATAGTTGCAAAAACCTTTATTGTCATGCTAGAAAGTAACCATCATGGCAGCTTGATGAAAAATCGTTTTGACAGCCTTTTAGCAAGGTAGCCATGTAGTTTATGCCCTGTTCAAGATATTTCAAGAGTCTGAACGAGGGGCAAATCACTCTTTGAAAATCTCGTACACCTTTTGTGAAAATTATATTGTTTTATCTGAAAATCCCTGGAAATCCTTGTGTTTTAGAGAAAATCTCGTACGCTATTTGCAAGACTGAATTGCCCCTCGAGTCTGAAGAAAGTGCTTACAGATCCGTTATTGAAAGGGAACCTTTCCTAATTGCAGATAACTATTTCTTTGCCGGACGGCATTGCCGAGGTTGCCATATTAATAATCCTTGAATCTCACTATTGGGTTCTCTTTTGATACTCAAACTACCCCCGGGGAAGGCTGTATGATCCGTGTTTTGTAATATGGCGGTTAAACATTTTCAAAGATACTGTCTTTGAATTATTAAGACTCTTGTTCTGTGCTAAGACGCAGCAGAACTCTGCTTAAATTTGAATTTGTCTGTGTTATCAGTGTCGGCATGAAAAATATCAGAGCTAGGATATTTCCTATATAAAGACAGGTGTGAGGCAGCATCAGTTGATTTTGGACTGTTAGCAGGAGACGAGAGTTGGCAAGGATGACAGCAGAGGTATAAAAAGTATTTTGTTCCTTAGAGGTTTAGAGCAGAAGTAACATCTACTGATTGTAGTAAAATACATTGACATCGTTTCCAGCAACAGTAGTGAGTAAGGAACTAACAGAGCTGCCAGTAAACCTTTTAAGGGGAGAGAGGCCCCAGGGGGTATGTAGAAATGATATTTTGCAAAGTAAAGAGTTTTCGAGGGTACCGTTGTCTTGAAGGGGTAGAGCCAAATCTCATCCAGACATTCGCGCTTATAAAAGACAAGGTCCATCGCTCTTTGTGAAGTGAATACTCGGTCTTAGACATTTCTACGTCATCAAAGGTAGCCGGCAGTCCATTGAGGAATTGAGATGCCGCAAAACATCAGTTGTTTTCAGCTGTCCTTGATAGCTTTTCGGATATTGTCCTTAGAGACACTGCAAACTAGATCATTTGCGTAAAATTATATATATTTAAGCAATTTATATTGTTTGATTTCCCCTTTTTCTGTTCCCAACTACTCTTCTCTCTTCGCCAAATGGGACATGATATTCAAGGTTTAAAGAGCAACATAATTGCAGTTCTTTTTACTTTTCGCTGTTTATTGGAACCCTGCCTGTGATTTCAGCCCGTTTCTTTAGATCCCTGAATAGAAATAACTCTTTCGTGGCTGTATTTCCTACACGAATGCTCTGCCAGCCATCATCCGTTGAAAACGTAAGCTAGCATTTGCTCCACCTTTGTTTAATTTTGTTCAGGGATTTAAATATTAGCACAACCTAAATTTTGTAGCTAATCTTTATATTTTTATCTTATTCATTCATGATAATATAATCTAAATAACTTTGACAGTTCACTAAGCTCCAGCTGGTTTTTACAGTCAGTTTCCCAATGTTTTACATGAAGTACTTGATAGAAAATTTACAAAAATCTCGGTAGTTTTTGTTTGTACAGCAGCTAACTCGTTTTCAAATCGGTTTCTCTCTATGGCTTCTTTTTTAAAATGCATCAACCATCATAAACCAGTCACTGAAAAGGTAACTCGTATTCCTTACTCTCTGCGAATTTCTGATTTTATTAAGAGGCGACTTGGGTGTGGAAGTGAGGGGGGGGGGGTGGCAGAGATGATGGTCTGTCTTAATAAAATATGTTTTTGAATAGGGTTTTCTTTAACTAAATGTTTATTCCAATAACGAAGCCTGAGTCGAGTTTTACTTTTCTATTAGATTATGATATATCCATAAATATGTAGGTAATATGTAGGTGAGATTGCCTGTCAAAAATGAACATAATCAACCTGTCCCTAACGAACTTTCACAAGCAAAGTTGCATAGAAAGGAGGCCACAACCAAATTTTAATCCATATCAAAATGCGCATTATATGTCTCTGGGATAAAAAGGTTGAAATGAAAGCAATTCATCTTTGTTTGATGCAATTCATCGGGACGAGCCGTAAAGAGTGTCAAGCGATTTTACCCGAATTGTAAATCCAAAAACCCGGTCACAAGGGTAGTCATTTTCGTCCTTAAATATTGTGTTTTGAACTACTTATAATGAAAACAAATGATTTGAGCAGTTATTTCATTCGGGACTTTGAGCTCCAATTTTTCACTCTTCCTTTCGAGTTTGCTTCTATTTGAAGGGTGGCTAATCTTCTCCATTATTATGCACCCGTGATGGGTCAGTGCTGTTTTGCGTTCGATACACAGCAAACAAGCAGGTCTTTGAAGATCACTTTTAATTCTAGTTATAATGAATTTTGTCCAGTGTTGCGCACCGCCGTAACAATCACCGTGCGAAAACAACACGCGCTATTCGTTGCCACTAGGTTTAACGATGGCGGTGAACGACTGACGGCAGAACGTACACAAATTCAGCGCATGCCATAGAGCAGCCCGGCTATTTATTCGAGGCCCATATCAGAGCTCTTTAACATCGATGTCATTATGCTTGCGTTAAATGGGTTATAATTGAAGTTTTCCAAATGTTGTGCGAGGTCATGTTAGTTGAAAAGGGTTAGGCTCCGTCGAAGAGCCTTAGTGTCTGTGTCTCCGTTTGCTTTGAGATCACGGCCTCTTTCTGCACACGAATCTTCAAATTTTGCTAACGTTGATTACAATATAATCTGTCCGTGTATATCTTTGATATGTATTCAGTAAACACGTAACAGTGATTGTCTAGAGTTTGGACGTGTTTGAACATCCGTTTTCAATTTAGGCCTTATAATCAATGCTGTAAAAATTATGTTGGAAGCTCTATGTTTTTGTTTGGTATAGTATTTGATTTGACCACAATTGTCCGTAAGGGGATTGATGAAGCGGTAGGTTATTCTTAAAGAGCTTCAAGGTAATATGGTGACTTGCAAGCATTATCCAACCTAGTTTGTTTTTTATCACGGTGTCTCAATGAATGTACACTTTTCCGGGTTTGTGTCGGCTCCTTTCAAGTCTGAATAGCCAATATCTGTGGTACTCCCTTCTTGGTACCAACTAGCGTGTACTTTCCGTTGCAGTCCAAGTTACCCGATAGCAGTCAAACACCAATTGCTCAATTGCTTGCATTTCCACAGAGATATTACGAGCACACTGGCTACCCACCGGGATGCAGCTCAGGACATACTGCTACACATCACCCAGCAAGCTATGCAACTGCATCACAAATACACATGCCAATGTACACGAGGAACGAGCGAGGTTTCTTCGAAAGGCCTTGGTAAGGAAGCTTTTTCTATCTCTTCCTATATTGCTCCATCTCTTTGTCTAAAGTCTTTTCTTGCTACATTATAGCCTGCTTCCCCTCTGATGTATCACATTTGCTATCATGATAACAATTTTTGTACGGGATAACCACTTCAAGACTATACGTGCTGTTATCAACGAGGACCCTGATCTAAAAACTACGGTGTATCCCTATTCAATTATACTAGAAAGAAATGTAGTTATTCAATAAATCTGTTTACTTTAAGAAACGTAAACATTCAAACAAATTTTTAAATGTCCCGCAGTCACCAAGTTTAGCGATACAGAATGTGTTTTCACTATTTTCCATAATTTGAAAACTTTGTTGTTTTGATACTTAATTTCGTTGAATAATTCGTATTATAGCCAGTCTTGATGAGTAAATACTTTGTGTGTAATAGTTGTTTGCTAGCAGCGATTAGCACTGTAGCCCTAATGCAGTCACCCACTTACGACATATCAACCAATAAACATCGGTTGTTCTGTTCTAGGCAACATGCCCAGGTGCCATTTGGGCCTCCTCCGCACGGTTATGCCCAGTATTACCAACCGGGCAAAACAGGCGAAGCTCGTCCCATACCATATTTAGATTATCGACATTCGGGGCACCATCCAATGGCAGGTCAAAACGCTGGTGTTATTTCATACGTCACACAGGTTGGGTAAGTGTCATATACCCAGTTCTATTGTCATTTGAATTATCGTTAGAATGATCATCCTTGTAAGATATTACAGACACTAAAAGAACAAGTGTTTTATAGGGACACTTGTATTTATCAAAAAGCAAATATTTTACTATTTTGCTCATGATTATTGTTTAGATAAACATAGAGACTGTTAGAATAAGGTTGCCCCTTGTTTCTACTTTGACAGGATCAAGTCAAGAAAACTCTATTTAGCAAATGGAAGGGTATTACATATTCCAAGTATCTCTTTAAATACTCCTTGCTGTTACTCTGCTACTCCCCACCCATCTCAAACAGAGACAGCTTTGTATGTAAATTCGTTATGCTGTAACTGAAAGTTCATTTTGGAAGTATAGGCCTAGTTAACTTATTGTGACCAGCTCCTTTTTCCTTCTCTAGACCTGGGTTTCACCCTCAAGTTCCTGGCGATCATAAAGGTGGCAAAGATAAACGAGCTTTAGCGCATGTTAAAAAACCTTTGAATGCTTTTATGTTGTATATGAAAGAGATGCGACCGAAAATCGCTGCAGAATGTACGCTGAAAGAAAGTGCGGCAATTAATCAAATTTTAGGCAAAAGGGTAAGTTTTGTTTCATGTTTTTAGCAAAACTTTCTAGCAAGGTGTTGGGATTGAAATTCTCAGATTTTCTACAAGCAAGAGTTACTGTTTCATCAAAACCTTTATGCTTTTGTTTAAAAAAAGGATGTTGAATTGTATCGAAAAATTTTTTATTGTACTCTCATCAGTACAATTCTTATTTCAGTGGCATGCGTTAGATAGATCAGAACAAGCAAAATATTACGAAATGGCACGAAAAGAAAGAGCACTACATATGCAGCTCTACCCCGGCTGGAGTGCGAGAGACAACTACGCTGTTCTAGGAAAGAAGAAGAAAAGGCGGAAGGATAAAAACCAGGGTAAGGCTTTCATCTTGTCTTATGAAAGATTTAAAAACTAATTTGATATTGAGACTGAAATGGACAGGCTGGATTCATCAACACATGCACTCGCTAACTGACATGCCAAAAAGTGCATTCTACATCCGTCATCAGTCCGAATGTGACTGCCTACCTAGGGGACTACTGATTCAAAACCCCATGCTAGAGAGGGAGATTATTCGAAAGGGGGGAGGGGGCATTTTCGAATTGTTACGGTATTTATAATTGCATTCGCCAAGAGCCGCTAAATCTGTGCTTCGATTTTTGAAGAGGAGAGATAATCATAGCTGTATATATATGATTTAAATAGCTTTGGTTGTTTTAGGAATAATTTCTCTAGTTTTTTTACTCGCTGTTCCAATTTAGTGCTACATATATGAAAGGACTCACGTAAACTCCATACGATTTCATTAAGAAACATTCCAAATATTGTTGAACCAAGCCATGTGAAAAAGCACTCACCTGCTCCACCTGTGCTATTCTTAATTTGCAAACAAATAGCTGCTGTAGTCTCTGTTTTTAAGAAGGCGTGATAGAAGTTTGAATGTATATTGTGGAGATTGTGCCTAAAAGAAAAATTCATGATGCAATTCGATTCTCCATTTGCAGCATAAAACCCAATATATTTATAGACTGTTTTCTGTTTGAAGTTCTCTTGTATTTCATTGTTAACAAATGGCAATTTTCGTAACATAAACGTACCTAGTAGCATTTACACAGAGCACAAACGCTTGGTGTATTTAATTACCCTTGTTAAATATGAAGATTTTGAGAGGGTAAAAGTAGGATCGAACTGACTCAAGTGTATCAGTATAGCTTGTTAGTCGACAGAATAGACTGTTAGCTATTGTGTATCTTGGTCAAGTGCTGATCAGCAAATACAAAATGTAGCTTTACAAATTATTAGACTGGACAGAAATCTCTCATTTGCAGGCTTCAAATTTTTTAGATTGCTGTGAGGATATCTTGGTATAGATCATTATACTTTAATAGCAATGAAGTGGGTGTCACGTGATTTACAGAAGCTGTACATCACGTGTCGCTTATCTCATATTTACATGTTGACATTACAGGAGTACATGAATTACAGATACGTTTTGTGACTGTTTTTACATTCAGTTCACCGAACTGGTGGTAGATTCATTCTGTCGAATTGAAATTGTTATCATATGCCTCGTTTCGCTAATCAACCAGCATAATATGCAGCCTTTAGTAGCAAAGTTTGGCGTTTATGATAAACACCAGTATTATTTACACGCAATAGCATATTGTGGTGCATTCAGCAAATGGCTTTTGGTTGACCATTGATGGGCGCGTGGATTGGAACATTGATTATTAAGCTTGCTGCTGAAACCATTCAATATATTTGTTTGTTATAGAGCCATTTATATGTACTTCTTATGTACTTCTTCAATTTTTAAGCTGGTCCTATGTGTGTTCTATGAACTTTTAATTTATTTCAGCCCTAAGAATGTACAAAAGCACTGTGATTTAAGTTGTGTTTGAATTCATGTAAATTTTAAATGCATGCTGTGTAGGTATTGACATGCAATTAGGTTGTTTAATAGAGTTCATTTTAGCACATGGTTTTAAACCGAAGGGGAATCTTCTTAAGGGAGTATTTCAAGTATTTCCAGAAGCAATTATGTCCACTGATTGACATGCAGTTCTGAACGTTGTGAATTGCAAATACTCTAAATGAATAAATATTTCCACATTACCTAGAGCTGCAAGGTCAAGAGGTTATATAATAATGGGGAAGACTAGGTTGCAGTGCAAAGTTTTGAAGCTATTTTGTAGCGAGATCCGTTTTCAAATAAAGCAGGTCTCTTTATTATGAGTGTTGGTGGTTTGGAGTTGCAGCGACTACTTCATCAAAGCAAGTGGATTTGCAATATTAATGTTACATATTAACCCCAGAACAGGTTTTGAAGCTTTCTAGATTTAAATCTTATTTATATCGACAACGACATTATCCAGATGAGGTAATGTCGAAAGAAATTTTCGTCAGTACTAGAATAATGCTTCTCTTTTTTGCAGAATTGAATCCAAAGAAATGCAGAGCAAGGTATGGATTAGACAGACAAGATCAGTGGTGCAAGCCGTGCAGGTACAGACAGCGATGCTTATTCTAACAAAAAGCTCTTATCAGGGACACATATCGTTGATTGTGTCACTGATAACAATTGACATTGCATTAAACAAATTGTGTTTACAAGAACCCTCTCCACTTCTTGGTTGCTTGGTTGCAGATCTTAGATTGAAAGCTTCTTGTTACCGTCATATTTATATGCTACAGCAATTTCTCAAAGTTACCTTCAATTGATTTACTGAGGCAATTCTCTTCAACAGCGCACTTCAAAGTTTAAACCCCTTATTAATCGTTTGCCCTATTCTGTTTTAGGAGGAAGAAAAAATGCATTCGATTCTTAGCTGGAGCCGATGGTGTCAACGAAGAGGCTGGGGAGGAGGGTGAACACACTGAGAACATCGAACCTTCAGAAGAAAAGATGGAGGACGATACGAAGTTAGAAGAAGACGATGCAGATGACGACGACGAAACTGAAAACGCTGGTCTGTCAGAACCGGAAGAGACAGTTACGAGTAATTTAACTCAACCGCAACCGCAATTACAAACGGTTACTACGACGTGACACTGCGTAAATGGAAATGCTTTTCGCCTCGACAGCCCGGAATAAAACCAGGCTGCTACATTCGCCGGTCGGGCTCAGTGAAAAACTAGAAATGTTTTAGTAACCGGTCAGACGAGAGAAATAATGGTTGGGTACAACAAGCACCTTGTTTCGTTGCAATCTAGGAGATGGATGCTGTTTCTCAAAGTCAATCAGTGAATAATTTCGATGATTATGTTCTTTCCAAGATGCACTTGATTTTAATCAGAACCAAAGGGGCGGATTCTTTTAATCGTAGCTAGGCGGTGCTTTCCATGCCCCCTCAGGCATAGTGGAGCATTTTAGCTCGAGATCATCTCGACTACTGCTTGATATTTTGAACAGGACACTCCTTAATTTTGAGATCCCCTATTAAAATGGCTTTGATCTCCTGTGAAAAAGGATCAATTTTCTTTATCCCTTTATCCTTTGAATTTGTAACTGGCTTTTTCAAGAGAATTTTTTTGCATTTTAATGGAGAAACACGATGATAGTGAAGCCATCAGAAATATACGAAGGAAGCAAGCCAATTGAGCACCAGTTTCTCTCTTTCTCTCTCTATGTGTAGTTGTTGCCAATAAGGGTTCTTGAAATTTCTGGGACTAAGATTGTTTGCCTCTTCATGGATATCAGCAGATTGCCTACACCCAAAACCAGGATCGTTTTCCTGGCAAACTAACAGCCATTGCAGCGACCATCTGCATGAGCCCCGTACTGCATGCACAGCAATCCGTGAATTCGAGAGCTAGAATTGACTGGCAATGATAGTAGTTGTGGAAATTCGTGCGTAAGAACGGAATGTTTTGAAATAGTAACTTATACACAAGCAAATTTTGTATTTTGTAATACTCTATATTGAAAGGTTATATTAAGCACGCTAAGTGGAACATAGATTACAGTGTTATTGTTGTTATAGACAGCCACCGCCTATTGTAGAAACGAGTCTATAGATTATGCATTCATGTTTTCTGTTGAATAGGCCTTCAGGGGTCAAGTGTTGTGAACCTATACTAAGATGTTCGACTTGATGCAATCGTTTTTTGCAAAATCTACCCCGTAATTGCAAATTTAAATCGTTACTTCAAATGTGCTGTATGCTACTTAAGATAATCCCCATTTTAACATAGCGATTTATGTAGTTCTTGAGTAATAATATTTTTTACAGTCGACTTTGAACGATCGCATCAGTCGCATTAAATTCTGGGGATATTTTCGACACACGAAATTGTGTTGTTTTTCTAGGTTACACTATTTACATTGGGTGCACTACATGATAAAGTTTCTAAACATTTTATATCCCTTTGACTAACAGTTGATGACTTTGAGTTAGACAAAAATCGATTATCAAATTATTTGCATCGTGTTGCTCAAGCCTTTGACCTGTTTTCCACCCAATACATTCAACTCAACCATACATGAGTTGGTTTTCGGCTCTCCATCTGTTGGAAATATTTGGTGCCTTCTTGTGACACCAGGACTGTCAAATCGCTGGTAGCGTATTGATATGGTACCTGTTTTTAAGGAGGCCCAAAGTTTGAAGCTTACAGACCTTTTCCCATCAGTGTTAACACGTTCCGTTTTAGGTGCCAATAATGCAGTTCGTTCTGCATTCATTTAATTTTTGTTGTGGCTTATTTTGTTTAAACTCTTCTGAATGGAATGACAGAGAGATAATTGTTAGGTAATTATTGACTGTAGATTTACTTATTTGTTCTTGAATATTGAAGCAAGGCAGGGTACATTATTTTTTAAATATCATAGAACTGTAAATATAAAAAGATTGTTTCAATACTCTTGTACAGCCGTTTGTTAATTATTGGATTTTTGCTGTCACTAAGAAGAGTCTATTTTCTTGATATCGATTTTTGCTTTTGAGTATGCTGTTGGCTGCTGTGAAGGCGATCGATGTGGTGTCACGTGAAGGATATGTTGAAGAGCGGGAACGGTAGAAATTGGTTGGACCCTTGTTATGTCTATAGATAAAAGCCCTTTTTATATATATAGATATAAATCAATTAAATCACATTCACAAGGATGAAGGATCTTCAGAAAAGCAAAGACTAGAATAAAAAATCCCTAGGTTGAGAAAATTTTTCGCTAATTTGAAGAGAGAGGCTATTGTCTGGATGGGGGGGGGGGTGTAGCTGCGTGGCATAGCCAACTCTGTGATTATGGACACAAAACGTTGCCTAATTCACATTGCATCTAGGTGAAATGGCTTTAACCCTGAAACCATGAAGCCTTTTAATTTCTTATAATGTCATACAGATGGAGACTCAAAAATTTTTATTTGATAGTATCAATTAAGTACTGTCCTTGAAAAAGTGTCGTTTGAGTAAATATGGTTGACTGTAATAACACCACAATCTCATCATAATTGAGCAATTGACAAGAATTCCGAAAATCGTTCGAACCCAAACCCCTGATCTTGTTTACATCCGGTTCGAGGCCCGTCGTTGGATGAAGTACAAGCATTCCAGGAAGCTCTGTTTCTTCCTTATAGTAGTTAAAGGTAATGTGTCCATATAAAAGGACTGCGTATACCCAATTTGTCAAGCCATCCATCAAAATAACGGCTTGCGATTGGTCAGTATTCTTGCGATGCAAAACTGCTCACATGAAAAGTCAGCCTCGTACTGTAGATAAACAGAGCGATCGCGATTGCTGGGGCGATCACATGAAAAATCACATTTTTCTGAAAACCAATGCAGACTAGCCTGCGTGCAAACTTTTTCGCAACGAAAAGAAAGGTATGCACGCAGGCTTACGCGGAGTTGCTTGCTTTAGCTGGACACATTACCTTTAACAGCATAGGTGTGAAGATGAAAAGTTTCTAACAATGTTATGATCAAAATGAAAATATGTTACAGGTTTGAAAAAAACCCTAGACTAAAAACCTGTAGTGCTTAAGAGGTGTGGTCAGGTCCCATTTGCCGACAAAGAGGGTGAGCCATCCTTCATTTGCCGACAATTTTGAAAATTCGCCAACCACGTTGAAGTTGGATTGAATTAGCTTGTATGCATAGCTAGAATTGTACCAACTTTAAATAAAGAAAGAAAAAAAACGTTCCCTAGGTTGAAAAAATCATGGTATTTGAAACGGAAGTCTTTCGAAAGGGATTTCATACCACACATACCTCCCGGAGCTACAGTCATTTATTCCAGTTAACTATAAATAGCAGAATTTTTGGATTGTGGTCGTTTAGTATCTTGAGAATTCCATTTTGACTGGATGCCGTACTCGACAATCTGAATGGGGTGCGTAGTAAATTCTCTGAGGTAAAAACAAGTTACAAAAATAGTTGTCCAAGACTTGAGTGGCAGGCTCTCGGAAGGGTCCATCACCTCAGAACCCAATGCACAAGAGCTCAAGGGTGAGTTGGGACATTTACCTTTCTGCAGTTACTACCAAAATTACTTGAAACCCCCAACACTTTGCGCTGTGCTTTTTTATTTTTAATTTGTTTTCCCGAATACTACTAGTCCTACCCACCTTTCCCCCAAGAACAATGTTGACAGTTTTACAGAAGCAACCCCACTAAAGGAAAAGAACAGCTGCCACAGTCAACAATGAAGGAGTTTTCATTAAAAGATAAAGAATAAAAATTGTGACACGTTTTACCCTCACTCAGTTTCTGTTCTGGCTTCTAGATAACATCGTACAGAACTTCAGGGCAGGGATACAGTTATAAAAATTTAGCCTTTGTAGTCAGACTGCTGTATGGAAAAATGAACCTCTTAAAAATCTGACAGGCGCAAGTCCAACCCTCTGCATACATATCTGCGTTCTATACCCGTTTATTCCTGGCAATGTAACCAATTAAGGATCTTAATAATTAAGGATCTTAGTAATTAAGGATCTGAGTAATTAAGGATCTTAGTAATTAAGGATCCGACTACGCAATGAAGAAACATCACATCTTCGAAAACATGAATTTTCTCAAGGGTCTACAACACTTTCACTTCACTTCAAGCCCTATCGTATCGCAAATTTCAAATGACATCTCCCCTTTCCTTTTTTACACAACGCTGGTCAGAACAAAGACATACAACGTTGCCCTCTTTGCTCTTTTCAAGTGGCTGCAACAGAAGTGTTCTCAAATTAAACTATTTTTTGGACTGACCATGGGCCTGTTACATCCTACGAAATACTTTGTTACACCATGTAGCCAAAAGGAACTGATTTCAAATCTAGTAATCAAAACAATTAATTCCTTTAGTTTTATTGCATTTCTACTCATCAATTATGAATATTTTTGCAATGTAAATACCGGTAAAATAGTTCAGGAACTGCAAAAAAATGGTGAAAGTGCATCAATCAATTCATTCCTGATTTTCAAAAATTAAAGTTTTTAGAAACATTGCTTTTCTAAACAGGTTTGGTGCTTTTCTTGTTGTTTACACGTGGCTGGATAAACTTCACAACTTGCTAGTAAAATAATGCTCAACTCATTGATTACCTGTGTTTCTCTATTTTATGGTCATGATCAATGTGAGAAGATAAATTGTTTGGGGCACCAAACCCCATCTTCTAAGCTTCGAATTGGAATTTAAAGGCAACAAATCCTGTTTGCATCCGAAAAGAAAGCCTTACTCTGTTCACAGATCTTTGATGTGACCACGTGGGTTTCTACCCTTAAACGAAGACAATTATTGTAACATGAGGTGCAATGAGCTTCGGGGAAAATGAGAGCTCACCTTGGTTTTCTTCTTCTTGGTCACCTTGGTCTTTTGGGTCATCTTTTTCTTGGCATTTTTGTTCGGTAAAACAGCAATATCTAAACATTTTGAACGAACGATTTCCAGTCTAAAGTGTTGATGAAAAAGGCATGGCGTAATTCCCCAAGGGTTTCGATAATTCTTTCGCGCGTTTTCCCGCGGGTGATTTGAATCATATGTAGGAGAATTCCTTCGTAGGTTGGCAAAGAGAGTCACAAGTGACAGTGGAACTATTTTCGTTTCGTTTGACTGCATACATGTGAAGGGATGGCATTGAAATTTGAATCTATACGCGCTCGAAAGTCAGGATGACTTATTAGCTTCTTCGAATCTGAATGCAAAAATTGGTTTCACTTGCAGGGATCGGCAGAACCTATTGCAGACTGGGGGATAAATGCTTTGGTTGCATGCATGGTAAAATTCTAGATCAAGATCATTTATCGTATGCCTTTTAACTATATTTTTGGAATTATTTAGGGGTAAACCCCCACATCTCAATCCCGCGGTCCCTGCCTCCTCCTACGTGCGGATTTAATTTATCAAGTTTAACTTATTGTGCCATTGTCGACGTTGTTTTCTGCAGTCATTGAGGATTATTCATTTGTGAATTCAACGAGACCGACTGTGTATGGACCATTTAAAAGATGAAAATATATCAAAATTGGGAGTTTTTTGAAAGTGTACAGTTCTTTAACTGTTGCGAACTCTGAGCAAAGCCATTTGACCATCATGCATTGGTTAGTCCTACAATATCTTGTTTTTGAGCCCTTATTATCCTTAAGACTAGGTTACTTTCACTTTATATCTTAATCAAACTGAAAGTCAAGTTACATTTCAATACTTGATCTTATTTACTGAACAATTAATATTTCATGCAAATGATCTTTGTTGTTAACTTTTAACGCCCTTACAACCGAGCTTTAGTAATGGTACAAACGGGGTGGCTGTCTAACATGATGCAATAAGATCTACTTGTATTTGGTAAAAACACTGCTGCAATAAAAACAATCCACTTGCATTATTCGATTAAAAACGAGAACATTGAAACTTTAAACACCAAATACGTAGCGAAAAAGATAACTGGCTTTACATATAATCTCATTTTGAAAACGAGATTTTGGTATATGTAAACTGTAGCAGAATTAATAGAAACACTGTTTCAATTTCAGTAGGATCAATGAAGAGTGCAGAAAAACCAGCGAATAGAGGATGAAGATATTCATCGATTCATAAAAAAGTAATGATATTACTGAATCTATTTCATTTCAATTTATCCTCTAGGATTAAATTCATACAGATTGTTATTCCCAGAAAATACAAAATGCATGTTTATAAAAAATTTCAGGTCTCTATTGAAATCAATAATTCAAAGATCCTAAAAATTTGCAAAGTTCTTATTAAATTAAATCCAGCATTGCTTGTTTACAACGGTGATTTCATCAAGGTTTTAACGGTAGGTGGGATGCCAGACAATGCAATGATACATTTCATGTTGCATTTTAGGCTGCCTAGATAAGAGTAAAAATTGGTGAGGTATTAATGGCATGACAGTCTTGAACAGCAGCTAATTGGTAATGGGAAGAAGCGCATATATGGCTTTAAATTGGAGACAAGTTAAAAGCTGATTTTGTTAAAATATCAGCTAGGACTTCCATAAATACTCAAGTGTTCACTACAAAATTGTTTCAAACTAAGACATTTTCCTGTTAACACTAAATTGAAAAAGGCGTTGTTTCAACAGTGTAAATATTTATGAAGTTTAAAATCAAACAAATAGTAGGCGTGATAAATTTCGCTAATCTAGTAGTGTATGATACCACGTAAAAAACAGTAAAATTTACACTGAATCTTAAAAAATCAGAGAAATACAAAAACGACGTCACTTTGCGCTGTTGATTGCTCGATAGCAAGGGGAAAATATCTCTTGGAAAGAGATAAGACTGGGTAATGTTTTTCAAGGAGAGCCAAGAGCCTACAAAGGGCTGATTTAGAAAGATTATTGGGGAAAGACAATCAATAACCACATAATAATTTAATATTACAATTTGTTTATAATATTTTACTTTGATGATACTGCTTTCAATATCAATCTTACTGTTACAAGGAAAGGAAGATTCTTCTGAGCCTCTTTTCCTATATAACTAACGATTATTATGAAATATATATATTATTAAGATAATATACTTAATCACTTACAAAAACAAAATGACAAAAATGTTTCTTATATCAAGATAAATTCGTACAATTCATAATTATCTTTGGGTTCGTTAATTTCAGATATTCGAAATCCGTCATAACATTGGAAAAACATTCTTGCAAATTGTCTCACAAAAACTACACTATATTTAAATCTCTATACGACAAGCACTTCTGGGATAACTTAAAAAAGGAATCTAGTCACATTGAAAAATAATAGCAGGGCACTGAGACAACCCTTCGAAAGGATCGTGGCGGTTATAATAGAGTAATCATTTATCAAAGGGACTGCGAATAATTCTCTAAAAATATCTAATGGGGAAAATGGCCTGATAACATTTATTGACCTTAAATCAAACAAAATTTCTTTCAAAATAAAGATTTGATTAGTAGATTATGATGGCTTCCGAGTAATCTTAAAACTTACTTAATAAACGACTACTTGCCATTCAGAACTAATTTATCTTTCCCATTAGAAATTCATGGCTACAAGTCGCCCATAAACGACGTAGTTTATCAAAGATGTAATACTTTGAAGAATAATGAACATGTCTTTGAAAAACTAGCTTGATAGTGAAAATTTCGATAGTGCATTACAAGCTTTTGTGTCAGTTAGAAAGAACATAGTGAAATATATCCACTACTACCCTCACAATCCCACCGAAAACGTTACAAAACATCCCATCGAAATTTTTCCTCCAAAACGTTTCCGAAGTAGTTGCTTATTAAGGAATTAGATTATGCCATTGCTCAAAGGGTGGTGTAATTATATGGGACTTTTTGCAAATTTGCAGAGGTATGAATGCAGCGGCATTGACAATGCACCTGCTAATGTGATACCAGAGCTATCAGCCATGCTCGCAGCTCCCATTGAAAATTCACGGTATTTTGGGTCTGCCTAAAACCAAAAAGATACACAGCTGAGCAATTACAGAAAACATGGCCTAGATATACTTTACCCTCTGCATGCTAGAAGCAGAAAGACTGACTGCGGGAATCTTTTGTGAAACAAATTTATTTAATCAGCCATTCCATCAGACATACGTTAAAATTCTGGTAAGGTGTGTGCTGGAAATCAAACCGGTTGACGTAGTAAAATTAAAAACGTGAAAGGGAGTACGCAATTAAGCGACAAAAAATTGCATCAAAGCAAAAGAGTCCTGCATACCTTATAACAAGATGTACTTCATACCTTACCTGGCAGCTTAATAAATATATGATAACAACTTCCAAAAGTACACAGTATGACAGAAACTTTAACTATTAAAGCCAGTAATCATTTTTTCAACCAAAAAGTATCTTTCGACAAGACTAGGAGAGGTGAATAGATTATCGATTTGAAGAAAAACCTCAACCCTTCTCCATTCAACTTACGGAGGTATTCAAGTAGAGCTGCCTCAAAATTTGGCAACATTCAAAATTTGACATTGGTGGGAACATTGGCAATATTCAAAATTTGAATTATCACTGTTATATCGGTAGTGAAGTTGAAATCAGTGTTTTTGGGTCAAGGAAAACATTTAAATTAGATATAATTATAAACTGACAGGTAAAAATGTTGAATTTTGTCTCTTAGGTTAATAGTTGCCTGCCATGTATCCTTGCAAAGTTTTTTTAAAACATGGAAAAGTCTTGTCATAACAAAACTTCATCTTTTCTACTGATGTAGCTGAAAAGGACATGACTGCATCCAGTTTAAACAACGAAATCACTCACAACAACAGAAAATAAACAATAACACGAGGAAAGAACATGCATTAACTCACACAACTCCACTCGACGTCTCAGTAGATCTCTCAAACATTGAAGTACTTTACGAGATACACGGTGCAAGAACTGCAAATTTAGCTGCTGTTTTATGTCAAGCTAAAAATGAAAACCTTCCCTTGGGGGCTAACACAAAATCTCTGCGTTACCCTTGACATGACATGTCCGATGTGCAGTGACGTCATATATAGCAAAGGATGATGATAGAAATAGGAATTGAAGACTGAAGAAGTAGGTGATGGGTGTTCAGATGTCAAGGCAGCTAGAAAACCAAATCAATGAAACCGCCAAGCGCTTATCATAGAACTCACCCAACTACTTAAATTCATGCATAGAATTCAGCTGATGTCAATCTATCCTTAGGAAACTAAGATTAAAAGAATAATATTTTACCTCAATGGCCACTCTGTAAAAAGCATTGACATAGACCCCTCCGCCAAGAAGGCCTTCGAACAGTCCAATGGACAACGTGATCCAGATACTCGGAATAAATCGGTAGTAAACCTCCAGTAAAAGAACTATGAAGTTGATGTACTATAAAAAGATAAATATAAGCTCACTAAGAAATTGCATACAAAGTAAGTTACTAAAAACGAGAGCTGGAATTGGCAAAACATTGTAGCAAAACATGTGAAAGAAATTAGAAGAAAGATAAGACTTATATATTGAAGTATTTTTAGACATGGAATCCCTTTTAGATATTTCCATAGATATAAAGGTCGTGCATTGATCTCTTGAACTTTTCACAAATCCTCTTTTGTACATTTTTAGTCAATACGATGTACGAGAATTCGAAATAACAGCAGCATGAATTCTGAAAAGACTTTCGAAAAGGAAATTTCAGAGGATTATTTAAAAATCAAAAGTTCCTTTTCAAAAAGATGAGATTTAAGCAGGAGTGTTCACTTCCCCAAGACAGATTACTTACCACAATTAAAAATTATTTTAACTTATGACATTAAGAAAGCAACAGGGAGCCAAGGATGCAATGTTAAAAGAACAAATTCAAAGAATTGTTGCCTTTAAATCTCTGAATGAAATTTCTCACCGGAAAGATTTTTTAAAATCCATCAAAAGTCTATCTAGCAATTGTCTTGGTTATGTAAATCTTTCCAAAACAAGCTTATTCTTATGTGGTTTCATCTGTACACAAACTGATGGCTAGAGCTGCAGTGACCCCCCTTATTCCTTGCTCGCTATTAACAAACAGTGTAGAAAGATCCTATCCTTGGCTGAAGTGTATGAAATGAATAGATATTTGTTTAAGTTGGATTTCATCCCTGACACAATGGCGGTCTCGTCTTGTGAATTTATTTTCAATTGCGGCCGTCCGTGATGCTTTGTCGGTACTAGATTTATAAGGATTAATCGCTTCTTCTAAGACATTGTCGTGGAAGTTACTCTACAAAACATTCATAGACCGTAAAGATGTGTTTTTGTACATTAAAACATGAGTTGCATTCAATTTCGAAAGGGCGGTGTGGCTTTGCAGCCTCGCTTCCGAACGAACAATCACGGCAATGCACCGCGAGATAGGCCTAATTACTTGAAAAATTTCCATGAATCGATCCCTGAGGCAAGAAAATTAAAACATGTAGCTTCAACGAGATAATATTGACAAGCAGTGTCTTGTTCAAGGGCGATGTCATAGCAAAACCGGCAAAAATAAACCAATCACAATAATTACAATCACAATCAATTACAATCACAATCAATTACAATCACAATATCAATTACAATCACAATCAATTACAATCACAATCAATTACAATCACAATCAATTACAATCACAATCAATTACAATCACAATCAATTACAATCACAATCAATTACAATCACAATCAATTACAATCACAATCAATTACAATCACAGAAAGATAGCTGGCACTCATTCTCTAATCCTTCTAAATTCGATCCGATATTTTCGCTGCAATTCGAAATATACAAGAGGGGTTGTTTCAAAGCCACTGCAATCTCACACAATACATCTTGACCCTTCACTGATATAGAGCTCTTGTCAAAGATATCCCCAGGAAACATAAAACATTAATGAGTTTATTTAAATATATTTCTTCATTTTTCATGCAAAACACTATTAAAAAATTTTCCTTTCCACATTGTATTTTACTTTGACCAAAAGGCTTTCTTTAAGCAATCGCTTTTGCCTATCAAAGGGTACAGGTTTCCAGAAACAATAGCTTAACGAAATTCTGCACACTCAAAACCAAACAGAAAAAGGTGAAAAGGGGCGAAGATGCTCTCGGCGTAGCTCTAAAAGGGCGTAGCTCTTTTATTCGAATTTTTGTCTCTCGTGATCAAACTCCGCAACTTCATTGCTAAATTTTTCTATGCAGCAATGCCTGGCAATCGATATTAAAAATCCTAAAAAAATTTCGTGTCCAAAAGACAACTTCAGAGATTAAATGAGGAAAACAATCTATTCCTAGCAAAAATAATTCTAACAATCTTTTCGTGGAACAAAATTTAAAAATGGCTCTGAAACAAGCAAACCTTTTGAGTCATACTAAAGATTTTCGTCTAACACTTTTCAAAGTACAAAACGTCAGAACATAGATCAAAACACTATGCTAGGAAATATATTTACCCAGTTGTAGATCGAAATAGTTCTTTCGTGCAAAAATTCATAGAAACTAAACTGACTTAGAAAAAAAGTTTATGGGCACTAAACAGAAAATGACTTTGAATCTCATTAAGTTTTCAGCCTTAAAAATAAAATCAAGGAATAACAAGCCAACGAAAACATAAAAATAAAGTAAGTCTCGGCCTGTTATTTATTTTCTATAGCATACATTTGATTGTTTTTTCTGAGGAAAAGGCTTCTAGCTTGAGAAAATATGTCTCCTTGTCTTGTCTGACTCCTTAGATATGAAAAATCCTGCCAAAATGCGCAACTTCCAAATGTACTTTGAGAGCTACTCTCTCTAACAAAGACATCAAAACACTTAACTCCCAAAATCAAGTTTGGTGTCAAAAACCTGGAGTAAACGATGGAATAGTTCTAGTCTTTTTCCTCTGTATTTTAGTGTATCAAACCTGAAAGTTTTGCCTGTAAGAGAAGCTAGATCTACAGAAATCAAGTGTAATTTCGCCTCTCTTTTCTCTAATTAGTGCAGGTCCTGATTTAAATCCGGGCTGGGCGTTAAGACTTCTTTACAGTCTTGAGAAAACAAACTCTCTATCCCAAAGCACAAAGGAGCATCTGAATCTTAAAGGCGAAATGCCGTATCTTAAATTGTTGACCGAGGAGATCAGATATAAGCTGTATATATTTTTGCTCGCTTTATAATTAAAACTGCAGAGAACAAAAGATTTTTAAATACACATTACAGTTAGCCGTTGGAATATCTCTTAATTCAAAAGTAATCGTGTTTTACAGCAACAATATCTAATTCATTTTTGGACAAGATTTGGAAACTCGAGGCAGGCATGTTTCAAGTGTGATGCAAGTGCATAAACGAGAACATTAATTTAATCTGAAGCTAGAGAAATTCTTAGCATACATTTTTTTTGTATTCAGATACTTGAAACCTTTCATGATACGATCGACTGATAGTAAAGCATGTAAACACAGGCATCTTCAGCGAGAAGAATCGCCAAAGAACATAACTTTGGCCAGGAAGAATCTCCTGAATAAGCACACACGTATAACCTTATCTATACCCTTATCTATCTTACCCAACTCAAGAAAAAAGTGTTGCGGAATTCATAACATTTTGCACAAAATCCCAATCGTGCAGACGTCACAAGCATTGGCATAAAATATTATGAAATGTCCTTGAATCCCCCTTCAACATTAATTTGAGAGAAATCAATAACAGGTACAGCAGCGATTCTGCAAGCTCTCTAAAACCACCCCTTAATAACATATAGGAAACCCCCAATCGTGGATGACAAATTGGACAACTATCAGCGTAAAGTTTAGTATTTGGGGGTTAAAACGCGTATTTGTGCACGTTCGATATTCTGTAGCACCCGAAGACGTTTGTAAAAGGCTTCATTATTATCAATAAAGTGATCGCTGAGCTACAGTAAATGTTCCACAAACCTGGAGGGCTGCTAAAATTTCGATTTTCTCGATCTTGATAATATTCACTGACGATCGTGAGATAAGAACACCAAACTGATAGCAAAACTGGAGCCTAAAAGTAAAATTGTTCAAGATAATCTACATAGTATGTCATAGCAAGCTGATTCTGTCATGACGTTTTCAAGGAGAGTACATTCATAATAACACTGACATTAGAGATCGGAGACTTCAAGAAAGTTTCTTGGCCTAAGCGGGATAACGACATAGCTCAGTTACGCCTAAAATGTTAAAGGGGTAATCGTTTGAAAAATTGTAAATTAGCGTGGTCTATTGCTAGATTTCACGTTTCAGTAATAACACATGAATATACAAAAGAAATATTATTCGTAGAGCTCCAATACTCTCAGTTCTCATATAACAACAAGCGTAGAGATTTAATAATAACGGGGAGGTGTTTAGAATATTCTAAATCTATTAAGAAAGGGGTGGTGTATTAAGCAGGAAGGTGTAGCAAGAACTTTGAAAGGACAATAGAACGAGTATCTATTTGTAGGAGATCGTGAATCAAAGGCAAAAGAAAAAAATTGCACTTTTTTTAAAAAAAACCTATTCGTAGAGATTGACTGTGCAAACATTAACAGTTGACTATAACAAAATTCATACAAAATTAATTTTGTTATATATCTTACTATAATGTATATATCAAAATATAAGGCAAGAATTGGAGCTTGGAGAGGATTGTTTGAAAAATTATCACAAATTAATACGAAGTGAGAAGGTGTAAGACTGTAGGAAACCTCAAGTGTCATGTCATTATGACCCATAACCAGCTTGTTGTTTCAATTTTAGTTATTATTTACTACTTTAAAACTCCGTATGTTTTTTTCAAATCATCATTTCTGTTAGCGCAAATAGCATAATTTAACATATTTCATTCAATAGCCGGATATTAGGTGACCGAAAAGACAGCTAATAAACTGCTTAAGGCTGGCGTCATTAGTGCCATTAACCAAGCTACTCAGTTTCATCCTCTATCTTTGCTATAACAAATAATGCTTTTGAAAATCTGATCTAGATAAAGGAAAAGATTCTTGGTTGGAGGAGGGTATTCGTGAATTGGCATAAAAGTGAAAATGTAAGTAAATAATAAGTTCTGAAAAACCAAATTTAGAGTGAGGGATAAAGAGTAAATTTTCAGCCAAAAGAAAATACCTTTAAAATATTTGCAGAACAAGGGTTTTTAGTTTTAGAAAATCTAATTCGTCTAAATACAGTTATCAAGATCCTTTATTTTTAATGCACAACCTTAAACGGGCTACCTCTTCTTACAATACTTAGTCTCTCAGCAGAATTTCTTCTTAATAAAACCAAACTCTGCATATTCCTCGTCTCTCTTATCCCCTTAATTCGTCTCTAGGTAATGTAACTAAATAGAGATATAACCCGCTCAAAGATATACCCTTTCCCTAAATCTGCACACATCCTAAATAGTTTCAATCTTATATTATCCCAAATTTGAGTATCAACATCAATGCTCGCTAATCTTACAGTGCCTGTATTTTTAATGGTGTGTGTGTGTGTGTGAATGTGTGTGTGTGTGTATGTTGTCCAGCGGGGTTACATTTCAAGGAACTCAAGTAATCAACTGTTAGCTTCCAGGCTGTCCTAAGAAAATATTTGTGAAACCTGAATTCTGATAAGCTAGACACTCGTCCAAGCTGCTGTGATCAGACCGAGTTACGAATGGCAATTCTGCAGTCTTATCTATGGTAGAAGAAAGTAAATCAAGTTTTATGAAGAAAAATCAGTTGGAGTCTTAGTATTTGTCACAGGAAAATGTCACGGTGCTTTCAGTAACTTTCTTGAGATTTTGCAAGATCATATTTTGGCAAGATATTTTTGCCGTCTTTAATGCGTCTTGCAGTACTTGTTACTTTGTACGCTGTTTCTCATTGTTTAATTCAAGTCAGATTGTTTGATTGTCTCCCCAATCCTATTTAAAACTGTTTGTAATGTTTCTACTACAAAGATTCCACTGTCTTTACTTCCTTTCACAGGCTTCTCAAATTTTTGCAGCCTAAATTTCTTCAAGACTTCAGCAATCTTAAGGTCCGTTTGTAGCAGGCTGTCAGTGTGGTCATGTGAAAACGTTTTGTCGTGAACAATAGCCTTCTCCTTATCTTTTTTCAGACCTGTTACGTTAGCAGCCAGGTTAGTCAATGCTGTCATTCAAGATTGATAGGATATTGTTTCATATGATTAAAATTAGTTTCTAATTTACCAGAAAAACCGTTAGCTGAATGCTTAACTTACCAGCGATACTGCCCCGCATGGTTCATTGTCGAATTCGGGTAGTACAACAACTCAAACTGTTTATAAAGAAAAGAAAACTTTGTACTGTCAAAATGATACTTCATATTGTTTATCAAACATGTTGCTAAATCTAAAAAAAATCGTTGCAATCTCTGCTCTGATCTAGATCTGATCTACTGTTTAATTACTTGGGTTCATTTGGTGTGATTTGAAATTAGAAACCGTTAGATTTATTTAACATGATATAATATAACATGAAAAATAATATCATAAAGCATAAAATATAATACATAGCAAAATATAAAAGAAAACATAAAATAATTAACAAAGTTAATATGATTGGTATAATATAATATAATAAAGTATGATAATATAAAGCATAAGATAATATAAGATAATATAAGATAATATAAGATAAGATAAGATAATATAATATAATATAATATAATATAATATAATATAATATAATATAATATAATAATATAATACAGTATAATATAATATAATATAATATAATATAATATAATATAACATAATATAATATAATATAATATAATATAATATAATATAATATAATATAATATAATACGATATGATATGATATAATACGATATGATATGATATAATACGATATGATATGATATAATACGATATGTGCTATGATATGATATGATAAATTCTATGATATAATATGATATGATATGTTATGATAGGATAGGATATGATATGATTGATATATGATATGATTGATGATATGATATGATATGATATGATATGATATGATATGATATGATATGATATGATATGATATGATATGATATGATATGATATGATATGATATGATATGATATGATTGATATGATATGATATGATATGATATGATATGTTATGATATGATTGATATGATATGATATGATATGATATGATATGATATGATATGATATGATATGATATGATTGATATGATATGATATGATATGATATGATATGATATGATATGATATGATATGATATGATATGATATGATATGATATGATATGATATGATATGATATGATATGATATGATATGATATGATATGATATGATATGATATGATATGATATGATATGATATGATATGATATGATATGATATGATATGATATGATAAGATATGATATGATATGATATGATATGATATGATATGATATGATATGATATGATATGATATGATATGATATGATATGATATGATATGATATGATATAAGATACGTACCAATCCTTGGTTTATAATGTATTCCGCAAAATAAACAAAAAACAACGGTATCATGTACTTCACAAGCGGCTGCAAAATAAATTATGGTATAACAATAAACCTTGAGTTAATTCATTGTGAGTCAATATCTTGATATTTTTAAAAACAATTTATGTAAACTTTGTAGAGCAATATCAAGATGGGCATTTGAGTCAAAGGAAGCTGCTCTCGCTCATATTGTCGCATTAGTTAGAAACTTTCTTGTTTTTAGTCAGAAAAGAAAAAATATAAATGACAAAGCAATATAAGTGAAAAACCAAACAGGAACAGTTGCTATTGTAAAAGGACTTGGCACGAGATTAATAAGACATTCATATTAAAATATAAAATCTATAAGGCAAATAATAGTATGTCCAAGATGTTAACATATGATATATAAGAATTAAACTTTGAGGTTTGCAAAAGTAGCATTGAACGATGGTTGTGTTAAAAAATTGCTAAAATGAATAAGTACCACAGTTTGTGCAAAAAAATCAAAGCAATGAACTTGAAGTTATTGGTGCGAATCTGGCTTACCGTTCAAAATATCAAAAATAAGAGATGTAAAACAAACTGCATGCTCAATTTCTCCTGGAATGCTTACCTTAACTAACTGAAGCTTCTCTTTGAACGTCAAAGAAGCAGTAGCTAGAGACGAAAGTAAAAACGGAAGTTTAAAATCTGAGCAAAAAAAAAGTGGTACGTTGATTTTGGTGTCAAAAAATCATCAGTAATAATAACTCGCTCAAAACCCGAACAGTGGATCCGCTAATGATAGACAGCTTACAAAGGCAGAAAGCAAAACAGAAAACTGGATAGCAAAAGTGTTACGGATGCATTTCAAAGCAACTGAAATGCAATCGACCTTAGACAACATTTCTATCTAGCTATAAACAACCCGTAAGGGAGCAGCTAAGCAAAAGCATATTTACAAAGACGTTACCATTAAGATAGGCACGGCTACTCAAACACTTTAATTTATAAAAGTACAATGATACTAAAGAGCCCTTGTAAAGTTTCTGTTAGCCGTCCTTAGGGAGAGCTTGTTTAATAATGATGAATACTGCTGCACTGGAAAATCAAAAGTTGTTGAAAGATTATGGTGCAGTGTTAGGCAACATGGAAAACAACGTAGCAAATTCTTGCGGAGGAACCTTGGCGAGTAGTGAAGTGTGATCATCGGTGGCTTTCCTCAAGCCTTTTGTCAGGGCAGCATGGGGAAATGGTGACTTATTTAAGACAGGAAAATATAATATCGAGAAAAGTAATATGAGTCAAGCTGATAAAGAATATTATCAGTATTCCAATAATGAGAGAGGTTGCCTGTAGACAGAGAAGAGATAATTTAAAAGAAGAAAATAAATTACACAAGTAAGTGCTTCATTGATAAAAATAGGTTTCAAAAGAATAATATTCCCACCATCACTTGTGCGCTTTTTTATAAACGATTTCGAAGATGTTGATGAGGTATGATCAAAATTATTTTCTGGTTTCAAAAGCCCCCAATATCTGCAATAGAACTGGTTGATAATGGCAAATTTTATGATAATGAAACAATATCAAGAGGATACGAATTCTAGAGCGAAAAAAGAAGTGTTTGGAAGATGGGCGACTCATGATTATTACGTTATGAGTTCGTTACTCTCGCCTTAAGGTAATCTGGGGGAATATTTCCTATTCCTATTTCCTATTTCCGATGTAGACAATTACCAATTGACTCCTGTAAATAGACAAGTAACGTTTTGGAGAGTAATAAGTGTCTTTGACTCTTGTTTTAAAAGTACATCTGGGAATTACAGTGTTAAAGGTTCTTAAATGACCTTTTAAAGCAATGGGCATATTTTCTAATATAAAATAGATCAATGAATCCTGGCAAAAGAAGGCATCCTGTGAAAAGTCGTACAATAAAAACCTTATGATTTCTCAGGGAGGAATATCAATATTGAGGTACTGGCTATTTCATTATATCAATAGTTTTATGTAGAAAAATTAGAAAAAGAACTGAAACTGAAGCAAAATGGCTGTTACATACCCAAACGCCATTAAAAGCGGGACAACAAGCATGACTAGCAAAGTCTTTTCAGGGCTCACTCCTACTGTCGTCATGCCAGCATATGCAAAAGCAGCAGATACCCCTGCGGCTCCTGAAATAAAACACAAAAAAGAGCTACAGCTTTGCATAAGGAGCAAATTGTGTTTGGGGTACAGAGGAAAATTAAGCTTCGGTAGCACCAATGGCAATATATCTATAGTCAATTTAGCAGTTATCATTATCTATATTACATCGAAAACACATTCAAGATTCTAGAGCCGAGCAAAATCTAAGAAAAAAGCGAGCGATGCATACAGTAGTATCCCAGTATAAGAGCGATTAACGTTTCAATAAACGAAATTGGAACTATAGCTTAGAGCTGCACGAAAAAGATTAAGCAGACTTAGACCCCCCCCTCTCCCCCTTCACATGAGAAATTTCACGCCGGTCTGAAACTCAGACCAGCCCCAGCCTTTAAAGTACTCATGTGAGAAAGGGCAAAATAAAACTCAGGTCGACCTGAATTCGATTCAGTTGTTCAGGTCGGTCTAAAATATCACGTCGACTTGAAATCCACATGTGAGCAGAAATCTTTTAAAATCGGGGCAAAATGAAATTCAAAGAGAAAAATAAATTGCTATCTGAGATGCAAAGTAAAATTCTGCGACTCATGCTTGATGAATTCGGTGCCATTTGACTATCGATTTGACCACAACTGGTATCTGCATAAAGCACGCCTTTTTCCTCATGAGCAAGAATGATATCCTCACGAAGATTGATTACTTGAGACTTTCGTTCAAGAAACACAATATAATGAAGTTGCAAATCGAGACCAAAAAACCAACATAAATTTAAATACCTAATGTAAAATGAAACTAGTTCGTTAGTTATTTGGCGTCATGTTTGTTTTGATTTGAATTCCCGATAAATGCACTTGTGCAATACCCTGCCGCTTTGTCAAGCCGGTTTTTAAAATATTCATGTGAGAGGGGCCTAACAGCATTTCTCTCAAGAAGTTGCTCAGGTGTTCTAAAGTGTAATATCTAAATTCATACAAAGGTGTTGACAAAAAGTGTAAATTTTGTAGCTTGAGGCAGCAGATTTTTGTAGAGGGAATGATAAATGAAAGACAGAAAAAAGGCTTGAAAGGTGAAAAAAATAAAACCGACCTGTACCAGCAGACCACGAGGATACGGTATTACTAGAAAGAGGAAGACAATTTTTATGATTGATACAGCACAGAAAAATGGTATTGCTGTAAAGAAGCTTTGTTTGAAAAAGATGTTTAAAAAATATATTTCATTTCAATTATATTTTGTAAATTATAGCTATATTTTAAATATAAATTATTGATTCAAAAAAATTAAAAAATAAACAATATTCTAGTCACCACCTTGTTTTAATTTCCAAAAGACCTTTAATGTTTGAACTGTTTATATCGATATAAGAACGGCTAGATTCTCAAAAATCATACTATTAGGGACATAAACGTGAACTTTAAATAGCTACAAGAGGTGTAGAAACCCAAAAGGTTCCCAGTCGAAATATAACTTTAAAGCTCTCTTATTTCCTTTAAAAAGATTTTTATTTTCCATATATGGTGGTATAAAGCAAAAATTAAAGGAACTAATGAATAATACAAAATGAGCAGATATTAAATTGCATGGTTGATTATTTTTCATGGTGAGTATTATTTAAAGTCATCAGGTTACCTGTGAAAATGCGCAGTTAAACTTAGAAAAGTTATTTCTCCAAATCCACAACTGATACTTGCAAATACAACACCTAAAAGATAAGATTTTGTAGATTTAAGCATAATTGATATATTGGTACAATGTTACCATTATTAACTGTTCAAACGCACAAACATTCAAGAATCGACACCACCGTTACAGACCCCTATAATTATTACATATAACTGGGTTTTCATTTTGTATTACTCATGACTAATATTTGGTAGGTTGAATAATGGGATGGATTGGCAAATAATGGTCTATTGATCTTGAAGTCCTTGCATATGGGTGTAGGTGGGCTACAAGAGCTCCATGAGCTCCGACTGATAAATGCCCCCAAACTAGCTTTTTAGATTCAACGGCATCTTTGACATTTTAAGAGAATTGCAAGAGAAAAAAATATAATTTTATCAACAGTAATTCTGTCAAGAATATACAGTCATGCAAGGACACACAGTCATGTAAGAATATACCTGAAACATGCAAGAATAAAAAAAATGGGAATCGCAATGCAGTGAGGGGTAAAAGTATAGAAAACAGACAAGAGAATTAAACAAACAAGATGGAAATTTCTTGCTGTTCTTGCTCATAAGGGGAAAGACTTGAGAAATTAGAAAATAAAACGGTTAGAAAAAAGGGCTACCAAATAAAACGGTTAGGAAACGGTTTATCAAAACAGTTGAATACCAACACAAGTTCCATTAGTCTTGAAAAAAGAAAATTGCAACTGAGAAAGAAGGAAAGAGTACTTTCTTCGGAAAGTGGAGTTGAATTAAAATACAAATAAAGGCCTGGCCATAAGAATTTTAGCAGAGAGTAGTAAACAGCCCTCCTAGTAATTTGAAGGGAGCTCGGAGGAGAGCAAGAGCTATAGCCCTCCTCAATGGCAAGGCCTGCATATGTGAATGGATCAACTAGTTCTTCAAAATGGTAACTAGCAATCCGAATAAAAATAGCTCTTAGGGTTTAATCGGAGAGAAAAAATAGAAGCCGATATGCAACAGCTTTGCAAAGAACTGCTTCGGGCCTTGACTTAACCAGCATCGAACACAAACAATCGGAATATTTTCTGTAGAATAAAAAGCATTAAAATACTGAAGCTTAAGAAATTCTTACCTAGAATAGAAAGGAAAACATTTTTGAAAAGTGCAACGAGGAGGAAGCTCCCAAAAGCAAACAGGACGACGGACGCAACTCGGAAACTGAAAATTGGAAGAAAATGAGCTGATTTATCCCGCGTACTGGATACTCATTCAAACAGTACTCCTTATGGTATTAGGAGATCTTCTTTAACGAGTACACTGGTAATATAACGCAAAAATCAAAATATGATATGAGGCCCAGTTTGGTATCAAGTCAAAGCTCTAATCAACATTTTCCTTTCAGATAACGAAAATAAAGAGCCCTGCTCGACAATATACTAATCGCTTCTTTGATAGGTTTGTGGGGTAAAGATCATTTTGGCAAATAAATCGTAAGAATAATTGTGGTATGTGACTTTGACAACCCCCTCCCCGACAGTTCTCATGTTCCCTTAAAAACAGCGGGTTCCCTCGTTCTACTAAATAACCTCTTGGAATGCCTCACTATATAGTCATTAGAGTGTAAATCCTATTTCGTTGGCTGGTCAGCGAAATCGCCTGGAAATAGGTAGAGAAGATACACTATTGGTTCCAACCATCCCTTAGGAGATTTTGCGTTTCACTCCAACTCGTCAGCTAGATACACCACCAATAAGGAGCTAATTATTCATTGAAGAGACAAATGTAATTTGATACTGATTGAAAGAATGTCCAGGTGGCACTTATTGGCAAGTGTGGAAACTGTTTTAGTGATAATGAAATGCAGCTGCCTAATAGTCAACTTGATCAGACATAATCAGTCAAGAATATCAAATGATTTTAATGCGCCAAAATATGTACAAAAGTCTGCTGATCTGTCTGCTTGGTTAACCCTTAGTTGACTTTTTATGAGGCATAAATATGACGTAAAATACATCTGGGTAGATGTTGAATGTAACTGCAACCAGGCCGTCGCTAAGCACTTTCACTTAGAGGGGTACCAGTCACCAATTTGCCGACAAAATAGGGCGTGGCATAAGATATTTCAATGTGGGGGTGTGGCATTTTGACGCAATTGATTTTGTTTATCAAAGAGGATGTTCTCGTTAGTCAATCATCGCTTCAATTTGCGTAACTATACTTTTAGAAAATTTGCCGACAAGAATTTTCTAGGGGGGGGGGATGCCGCACCCCCCACACCCTCCCGCTAGCGACGGCCCTGATTGCAACCTGAGTAGCATACAATTACATCTACCCCAGCCTCATCCAATACTGAAGCGTATTATCTATCTAAACAGCATACTTCCATTGAAGTGAAGGCAGGGAGATGCAAAACAAATGTCCTGGATTGTAGATTGGAGGCAACACTTACTTATAACTGATTGATTGCATAAAGAATGGAGCTGTCCACTTGATGAGTAATGTTGGCAGAATGTCAGCTAACAGGATGATCTATGAAAAAAATTAACTGTCTTCAAATGTTGAACAACTTATTACAAAGTTACTGCAGTGGTGTCTGCAGGGAGATTTCAATTCTTTAAACTAAATGGTTTGTGGTGGAGAGACAAGAATAGTCTAGAGAATAAACAAATAAAGATGAAGGATTGAATAAATGAAGTAACTTGAATTCAATTGAAAATAACGAGCATTAATTAAACCAACTCATGGTAAGCATCTTACCCCAGTGGAGTGGGGGTTACAATGATATCCTTTTGTCATATCATCCTGCAAACACAAAGAAAAGAAAATTTCATAATCATTAATTGCGATAAAAAAATGACAAAAATGACTTTACTGATAAGAATTAATATTGTAGCCAGTCAAGCTATCAATTTGAGGATTCAATTGGTAATTGCAATAAAAAAATGAAAAAAATGACTTTACTAAAAAGAATTAATATTGTAGCCAGTCAAGCTATCAATTTGAGGATTCAATTTGTAATTGCAATACAAAAATGAAAAAAATGACTTTACTAATAAGAATTAATATTGTAGCCAGTCAAGCTATCAATTTGAGGATTCAAACAATTACTGCCATGAGGCACAAGCACAGAATTAAATTAACAATTTGTTGTTTTTTCTCTAGAAAGGATTTAAACTTCAATATTGAGAGGAAATGCAAAATTTTGTCATAAGATAACTCAGTGTCAGGGAACGATGTTGTACGCAGGCCAAAAAAAGGGTATATTTTTGCCTGTGAAATGTTCCGTGGGCATTGTATTCATCAAACACATTTTCGTGAGTAAGTACAGCTAATGCTCAAAAATTTTGAAAATTAATATGCCAAGTTTGCAACAATTTTGCTAAAGTTGATGGATCAAAAATTAACTTTGGACTCAAGGCAAAGGGGTCCTTAGCAAGCTGTTGTGACCTCACACAAAGTATGCTGGTGGAAAAGGTAATAAGCACAAAGGGTTGTAATTTTTATAGAGACAATTTTGGCTTGGTGGAATTAGGAAGACAATTTTACTTTGTGGACATTCTGGCAGCTGTATGAGCTAGCTTTTTGTGATAATAGTTGAACTGACTTTACGATAATAAGAAATATTTTTGTTATTATACTTTATAAGCCCAGGCTTTATACTCTTTGACATCTAAATCCTGCCAATTTTTGGCCCCTAATATTGTCCTCCCCATAATTTTCTAAGAAGATTTTTTGGTTATTGGTTAGTGTTTCCACCCATGTGCTCTATATATAGTTCTCAGTATAACTTTTAATTAGTCATTATCAATACCTATATAGACACTGGTTAGCTCCTACTAGGGACTGATGTTTAATGGTCTGCTTTTTCCAGCATTTTCAGTGTCACCTCAGAAAGCCATAACTTTATCAATATATAGTTTCCATATGCTACTATCCCGGGATTTTCTGTGATAACCGTTTTTCTGTGACTGACTCCCCAGGCTAGAATCATCCCTGAACTTGTACCTTGCTTTATAGTACCATACAAAGTTTTCCAAATATTTTATTGAATACAAAACAGAGCAGCAATCAAATTACCTTCTTTTGGCCTAACTGTCTAGCCAGAATATCAAATGCTGCACTCAACATAACAACATATGCAAAATTGTTTGTGAGACCAAGAATCCTGAAAAGAAAAAAAACGTTGATTTGTGTAATCATATTGAAGCATTTGCAAAATGGATACATGTACACAAACTATGACTTGGCGAGTCTAAATAAGAAAGGCTTTGACAGTACCTACATTAATGAAGGTCAAAGACAGGCAGGAACATTGCAAAATATGCAAAGAAGTCTAATACAATAAACAATAAAAGATAGGTAACCACTAATGCAAATATTTCTGTTGAAATGTGAAGGATTAGCAGTTAAAGTTTTCAAACAAAAACAAAAACCATTCAAAGTACCCAAACTACTCTAATGTTACACTTACAAAGCAGATGGGTATAAATTTTCCCTTTATTTTAAGTTAGTCACGTTAGGGAGAGGTTAGGGAAAAGGGCTAAGAAGAGTTGTAGGTGATATCAAGTATGTTCATTTTACTTTTGAAAAAAGACAAATTATGTGAATCTTGAAAGTGTTCCAATGTTGACAAGCTCTGGGAAGGACATGAATTTGAGAAGGAGAATTGGAGAAGGTGAGCATGCAAAGAGCTTTTGATGTTTCTGAAATTTATCACAACAGGAGATCAGGGGTTATATCTGTGATCACTTGAGAGCAATGCATATGGAATAATCAGTAAAATATGGATAGGCCAGCAACACAACGGAAAAGACTGGGGAAACTTTTCAAGGATAGTGTTGTTGATGAGGCAAATTACTTTAAATTGGATTTAGCCCAGAGGACAATGCCAATTAAGAGGAGTGCCATAACAAATATGAGAGGAGTTTCCAAAGAAGAATAAACTTGAGATTTGTAAATTGACATTGCTACCTTGAGGAGTTTTGGATGAGAATGCAATGTTTCTACTTTTCTGTATATAAGTTTTTCAGCTTGTCATAAAATTCTCAATTCTTACTTTTCCATTAAGCCAATCAATATCTCAACTGTAAAAATATGATAAACAGTATATTTACCAAAATCCAGCATGGTTTCTCCATTTTTCCTTTACAGGACCTGAAATAACAAGCAATGTTTATACTGAGAAGCATGCAAAAATAAATTATCAAAAATTAAATTATTGAAGAAGTTTCTTGCAGAAATCTACAGGAGTGTACATTCCATGCCTTTGAGGATAGAGCATCGTGCGTCCTGGGTATGACTTTAAACTAAATCAGCACCACCTCTAGTTCACAATGGCCACATGTGGTGGTTGTTCTGACCCCCCTACTTCTAAACAACTTTTAGAAAAGACGCAATTAACTAAAAGCACTCTTTGAACTAAAAGCCTCTTTCCAGACATAAAACCAAGAAAAAATGCAAAAGGCACAGTAGTAGAAATGTATCTACACCCACAAGTAGCTGAGACTTTTAAAAGATTGGGTGACGACAGGAGACCTGAGGATGAAACCAACATCATATAACACAGTAATTTTGTACAGACAATACAATGGTATTCTAGGCTCTTGTAACTCTCATTCTTTTTTATTTGAAGATTTGATTTGAAGAACTTAAGAGTGAAGAAACTGAATTATCAAAAACATACACCCCACTTATAAACTGTGACCTCAAGTAAACATGTTTCCCCTTATCAAAAAAATTAGCTGCATAGGAATACTGAAGCCAAATTGTTTCCACTTATTCTTTTTTAGTTGTGCAGCTAAAAGTATGACATCAAAAAGAGAAAACAATGTTTCAGTGTTCTCTTATCAAACAGGCTGGGAAGCTCTAAGCTTAGCAATAACAGCACATGAAGAAGAATGGGTCTCTGGATCAGAAAGAGCACGTAAATATAAAATACATTAAAACATCTAATTATAAGAACCTTAATGAAAACATAGTAGAAATGCAGATTGATAAATGAAATCATAATAACTGAGTTAGGCTAAAGAAGTGTTAAAACAAAGAAAGCTAAAATCTTATAAAGATAGTTACTGAGAAGATATCATTGTAGCTTTTTAAAAAACCTTTTCAAGTAAAACACCCCTTTTATTATCCCTGTAATTCCATACCTGCTATTGGCTTCTCTTCTTCGTTTTCTACTGAATCACATAAATCTTCTTTACATAAATCATTTCTTAATACTTCATAAGCCTGGTCTCCATAATTTACTGTTTTCATCTTCCTATAAGGATAACAACTAAATGATCAACTACATAAAATAATTTTACCAGGGCTAATAACCTTAACTACTGTATTAGAGATGGAGGGCAAAAGGGAGTCTAGCCCACATATCTATACATAGGCACAAACTTGGTACGGTACCTGGGTACAGTACATGCCTGCTGCCTTTCATATGTTTAAAGTTTTTCTTAAAAGCAAAGGTATGAATTGTAGCTCAAAATAAAGCCTTTTTGGAGCTTGGACGGATATGCTTTTCAAGGTCAAAGTCCTCAAATCATAGTCCTTTACACATGAAGCAAGAATACAATGCACTATTTACTCCCCATGCTTGCCTGCAATTAAAAGTACTTTTCTCCTACAACTGTTGAGTCTTGGGGCTCAAAAATGATAAACAAGGGTTCTGCAATAAGGATGGGTTTATTTTTTTCAAATAAAAATGCAGGGGCCATGTTTTTGCCAGACTAGGGTATTTATGAATATCTAATGAAGATAAGGATCAGCTGTCTATGATCTTGGAAAAATGATGTTGAGATTGTTTACCCCCTCCCAATCTGCTTTTAAAAAACATATGTTCCAGCTTTCAAAAAGGGGAAGGGGAAGAGGGTATGTGTTTCTTGTTTTGTCTCAATAGCTCTGTCCAAGATTGTAAAAAAAACGATTTTTGATGTGGTGATGGGTTTGGTAAGACCCCAAATTTTGGCCAAATTTGCAACAAGTGTTAAGAAATGTGCATTTGACCCAAATGCTGGCAAGCCCAGACTTCTTCCTTAGGGGGCACACATCCTGTTTGAATGATGGAAAACAGTTCAATAAACTGTTGGTAAATTGCTAGCCTTGCATGCATTTAAAGCATATATTGAAAATCAGAGAACTATACATGACCTTCTTACCACACCAGTATGAATTCCATGGCAGCTGCACTCCGAGAAATTTTTGTAAAACAACGGGTGCACTCTTGCACACCCAGAAGATGGGACATGTAGCTCAAATTAAGGTTTTTTCAAATATGGCACAGTGACTTTCTAAATTTGTTCGCAACTGAGATTGGAAACAGTGTGTCATTCTAAATTTAGTTCTTTATTTCTTTCGTCCAGAATACATTAATATATAACATAGAACACATTAGATAAAATACATGTCATTTCATGTTGGAAAATATCAACATGAATAGATTGACTCTCGACTTTTTAATCTGACAGGATTTTGCAGGTTACATTGTCATATTGACAATTCAAATTTTGGAAACTTTTTGTCTTTTCTAAATCTTTGCTTGCACAATTTATTTTGCCTTGATGTACAGAAACATACTGTTAGATTGTCACTGCAAAAAGGGCTGTGATTGGCTACCGATCAAAAGGCATCTTGGATGAATATCAAAGCTACAGTCTCAAGTTATCGAGTTGGTTGTTTTGAAAAATACTAGGCCAAACAAATTTCATTTCATTTTTGGTGAAGCTATTTTGAAACTCGACCTAGGGCCTACTGGGCTGAAAATAATCTTCTCACAAGCATTTCAAGAACAAACAACATTACAGAGGCAAATAGATACTTAGCTAACCATTAATATAATATTCACTAACCTTTTATTGAATGCGGTTTAATTTTTCAGCTTCATCTGCATATATTTGCATCGGTACAAGCAAAGGGTACAAGCAAAATTTGTCCAGTCTCCTTTGCATAACCTCGAATTGACTTTATTACAATGTACAACAACAACATACAACAAAACTACGCCTTTCAAAACTGCAATCGCAGGTAACAGGTTCAATAGATCAATACCGTACACCCTCGATTTAGCCCCGAGGGGACTAATTTATTTTTAATATTTTTGGATGTTAATCGAGGGGGCTTATTCGGGGGCTTTTTCGAGGGAGGGGGGCTTTTTGAGGGATGGGGCAATTCGAAGATTTTTGGTACCTCAGAATACCGTAATTTCTGTTCTTAGAGAAAGTTTTGAATTGTAATTGTAATTCATATGGCTGTCTTGTTGGTTTTGCCCTTCATGGTAGCACTTCCCAAGATATCCAGGATTTTTTTTAGGTCACCTTTACCAACAAACAGCGCAAATTTTATTCATGGGGAAAGCCCTTGGTTTAGTTTTGGCTACCTAAAGGCAGTTTCAAAATCATTAAATTATTTCACAAAAATGCATTGCAAAATATCGCCCCTCCCCCGACATTTTCTTGTCAAATTTAGACGAAGTACAAAACTGCACCCACCTCTTTGCGCCGCTGTTTTGGGTCTCTGTTATTATAAAAGGGGGCACAAACAAAATTCTCCAAAAAGATAGGAATTAATTTTGAAGTATTTCTAAGAAAAAGATATTTTAAGAAAAACTTGAAAAATTCGCTTCCTGATGAACCTGGCCAATGAGCAAGGTTTTCTTTAAGCGTCATAAATCATATCGGTATAAGAAAGGCTACCCTGGGTACCAGACTCACACTATATATGAAATAAAATAGAGAGTCTGGTCTAGTGCGCCCCATTCTCGTTCTGGTGTGCTTATATTAACCAATCAGGAGCGAGTGTACAGATTTCTGTACGTTCAAAGGTCACAGCGAAACAATAAACTTAGCTCTGGTGTAAAACATTGAACAGAACACAACATAAATAAATGCTAGCGACTGTAACGATTTAGTTTGAAGATGCTGTTAAAACTGTACTCAAAGAATATTTTCCGCATGTTGTGGAACTTAACACAGAACAACATTGAAAGCCTTGTTTGTAGAGAGAAGAGACACCTTCGCCATGTTGCCAACTGACTTTGGAAAGTCTCTGATATTTCAGGCAGTGCCTCTCATTGCAAAGAAATTAGGCCTTGTAGTGAAATGCAGTAAATAAGAAACACCGCAAGGCGCCGAGAACAAACAACAACAAACACAAGTAAATCAGTTATGGCTAATATTTTCCCCGGCATACGGGGCTTCGCTTGTCATATTGGCCATATTTGCTGTGGCGAACTTCCAACGTGATGATTCTAACCACCGCGGTGTCCAAGCGCGCTGCCTTCACAGTGAGGAAGTAGACTGAAAGTACACTTAATTTATGTGGAAAATTACAAAAGTCTTATTTTAAGTTGTATGCTAAATTTAACAATGATTAACATTTAGTAACTGCATTGTGCTAACTTTAATTTCATGCTTCGCATATGCTTTTTGCTGCCAAGGCGTTTTACACCTGATTTGATTGGAATCTTGAGGCAGAAAAGTCTGTTATCACTGTATTAATAATGTCAACTTTACAGAACTATATAAAATACATTGGCTTTAAGATTTCCCAAAACTCCTCCGACTACTGAGTATCTTTGTTATTTATCCGACAGTCTTGTTTCACAGGCCTAGTCTGTTAAATAGACTTCAGTTCTTTCAAGTAAGTTCACCCGAACGAGAATGGGGCGCACTAGACCAGACTCTCTATTATTTTATATAGTGAGTTTGGTACCCAGGGTAAAGAAAGGCACACTATTTATCATGATGCCAAATGAACCCTTTCTTTAGCTTTGTAATCTCATATCAAATATTATATATATCACCATGTCGTATGTAATAATGATATTATGCATTATTAAGGCAATCTTAACAGGGAACGAGAAAAAATGCTTCATCGTTGTAGTTAAATAGCTACAGTTTCATTTTCATCTAGCAATACGAGGTACTGATGAGTGAATACGGACAATTGAAAGGATTTGTATTGGTCTCCAGTTGAAAATAATTTCACTCTCTGAAAACAATCTAATTTTAGCCAATCTGGCAAATATCATTAACAAAAATAATATCTAAAGATAAAATACGAATCTAGGCAATTACTTTGGGCTGAATCTTTCAAGTTTTCCATACAACTCGATTCAGAAAATTCTATAGGTAGCTAGCGTCAGCTTCAATGTTTACAGCCGGACTCCTCTCCGAACTCTCTCAACATTTCAACTGCATATGCAATCGTTGTAAATAAATGCAACTATTTCGCTGTTCAGCTGCTAAATGATGCCAGGCAATTGAAATATCTAAAACATCTAAATAACATCCAAGTCCATCACACTTCCGTGGCAAGCTCTGTTTTCATCTTCGCATCAAGCGGATCTTCAAAGTCGGCCTCAACTGATGAAGCTGCAGCGTAGCTTCCTGCAATGTTGAGGTGCACCAGTATCTGAAGGCCAATAGTCGTCTCACCAGATTTCACGGGCTTTTTCTCGGTCTCAGAAGGCCGTGGAATGGATGCAGTTATCACTTTGTATTCAAACGACATTTTGAATATGCACTAGAAAATGACAAAAGATACAAATTGTTAATTGAACCAAGTCACTTTTTGCAAAAAACAGAACCCTTATAATCCCAGTTACAAAGTCGTTACGGAAGAGTTGGTTAGGTATGCAGAAAAAGGTATGCTTAACTTATGCGACCATTCCAAGTCATTTTTATTCAAGCCAGCCATGAGAAATGTGTAACAAATCTGATAACTCTATTCTATGATATAATCTACTGTGATAATTTTAGCGATTCACTCAATCAGGCCAAAACTTTTGGGTCAAAATTCACTTCACTGTAGCACGTTCTTATAAACACAAAATATTAGATTAATATATTTCGGGCTATCAATCTTCTTATCACTAGTTATTGAAATAATCATGAGGTCAAGCAGTTTAGACATGACCGGCCTATGTTTGCAAAACTATTCAATTAACCAGTTTTATCTAACTCACATATGCAATTTTTACTGGAAATTATCGTCTAATGGAAAATGGTACTATGTCTGTCGCCTTTATGAATGGTTTTTGCTGGCACAATTACTTTTTAGCTCATTTATATCAATTGCCGACTTTAGTGAGTTTTCTAGTACAAAGCTTTGGTCACAGAAGTATAAATCTAGAACCAAATAACTTGCTCTTTTCTTGGAGCCGTCTGTTGTTGGGAGAAGACCGTTATTACTGTTGCGTCCGTCGTATGTGTCTGCTTTTTAATGTACTAATACAATCTCACAGTACAAAGTGTTGGTTTTGAATTGCCTTCACATTTGTTCTAGTCATTTATCAACACCTTAAGTCCATCAGGTTTAATTCATCTCAGTGATGTAATTATAACAATCAAGAGAAAGGATTTTCATAACATTAGAAAGAGTCCGTAAAATAAAGTGTTGTAAGCCCATTGCTATAATATTAAAACTTTGACGGTTTAAACGTGATATTTCTAAATCTCAAAACGTAAGTAAAAAAATAGAAAAAGAACTGTTTATTAATCATTTTGCTTCATTATTTAAAACATTAATTACTAAGATTATGAAACAGGTACTGTTATAAAGTAGCTAAAAAATAAAAGACTAGAGCCCAGACTCTTCTATCGTGGTTTAAGGTCAGATTGAGTTTTGTTTCGTTACTATCGCTGTGATGGCCTAAGCACGCGTGTCGTTTCCTCGAGTAATTCTGTAACCGGTTCATAAAGTTCATAGCTACCTTTGTTCCTTCGCTGGGAGAATTCAATGGTTTAACTCGTGCATAAAACCAAACTTTATTTGCCTGTCTTGACTGGATTACTCTACAAATAAAATACAGTTTAGTTGCAAAAGATTCGTAGTTTGCGATGCAGAATGCAAGAAGGTTATAGTAGAAAGACTTCTTAGGAGTAGAAGACTGAAATAGAAAGGAGTATGTAATACCATAAAAATTGGTCATTTGGCAAACATATGAAAAAAGAATTACAAAGTACATAAGAATCTGTCAATTTATTATTAGTGAAATGATCAAATTGATGTCCTGTATCTGAAACAGGAGCAAAATGTACCAAAAGTCGCCAACCAGAGTAGAAAAAACGGTCAGAATACCGTTTTGGGAAGTATAGCTACCTTAGAAATCCTTACGCATACAAAATCATCAATGTATCAACTGGTAAATCACAATATTAGGCCTATCGTTTAAGGAATCTTCTATCGAAATGTGTCGCGCTAAGAGAATTAGCTACAAAGTGATGAAATGAAAGTCTTAATTTGACTTGCACTGAAGGACGGCGATTGGTGAGTCAGTATAATCATGTAACGAAAAAAATGAGCGTGCTAAGCTCCAGAAAGACAGAAAATATATAAAGGATTATATATGAAATTTAAAGGTGAACTGACACGCAAAATTAACTTGATCTCTATTGAAAGTCTATCTGGTCAAAACAATCAGGGCGTTTTCAGTTTTTGAAAATTAAGCACCGTTTGCGAGTTTTTGAGCGCTAAAGTTCATCACCGACAACCTTCCGATTAACTGCGAGTTCGTCCGAGCTTTGTCAAATCCGTGACGTCACAAACACCACATTAGAATCACAGAATACACTTGCGCCACTTGGAACTGGAAGCCTTTTCTGACTTTGGTTGGATCGACTTGATTTTGCGAAAGAGGATCGATCGATACGTTGAAAATGGATTCAGACTCCGATACAGAATTCAGTTATCCTGATTTACAACAACAGGCAACGATTCGCCCTTATATGTTTGAGCCCCTACCGCGGTCACAAAGAGATGCAGCTTGTGGGCCTAGTCAAAGTGACAACACCGAGGATATGGAGGATGAGGATGATGTAAATACCGATAGGATAGGACACACAGAATGGTAATTAGATTTTTACTTCTGCTTTTAAAAGCTGAGCTAGTATTACCATCAGTAAATGCAAATTTTTGTTAACTAAGATAATCACGAGACACTACAATATTGAAGATCGCTATTTGTACAAAATATAGAGACTTGCCTTGAATGATAGTGTCTACCTGCCGAAACAGTAAACCCATGCTTTCCTGACTGATTCAGGTGTCAGTGTGGCAAATGTTTGCCAATGCGAAAAGGAAGGGAGAGTGTCTGCTGCTTGGAGATAGTCGAAGTAAAAAAACGAACCGGAAGACTTACATGCATAACAGACCACGATGGCTTCAAGTCACTATGCCTTGATCATCATGTCGTAGAGGATGCGATTTATCAGTATGTGGGTGAGGTGGGAGGCTATGTCGACGATACTCCCGCTTTTGAGTAAGTTTTTATGATTTCTGGGTCTTAAATTTTCTCATTTTTTTCGTTATGGAGAAAGTGTTTTAATAACTTTGCGAAACAATATTGAGTAAAACAATCTGAATGATCAGTTTTGGACCTGCTTTTTTGAAAAGCTGACTCGCGTCTCCAATGAACCCAGTCGCATTAAAATTTTTGATGCATGTTTGGCAGATTTTTTTTCTTTGGATTGTGATTTTTGCAGATATTTTCTTCTAGGGGTTTTTATGAAAACTTTTAGACCAAGCCCCCTCCTAGCATTTCCATATTAAACTGTTATCTTGATTTATGCCAGTATCTTATTTTTTTGTTGCTTTCCAGACTTTTTAGGCATGTAGCTTATCGCCAGTTTGTCAGGTGGATTTGGCGGCGGCTAGGAAAGCATGTAAGGAAAGTCATTCCTTCTTGTTCGGTGGCAAAGATTAGAGCCAAGTTTCCATCTGAAACATATACGGGGTTCAAGTTATTTGGAATTGATCACTGATTATATCAGGTAAATAAAGCAGCATATTTTGAGTATATGTGTATTAGCCTTGGACCACATACATTACATTATATTTCCATTTGGATATATATAGTTTTCTTCCTGTAGGGTTTTTTCATATGAAAATAGTAATAATTGTGTTCCCTTGTTACCGAATATACATTTCTACATCATCTAGATATACATTTCTATATCATTACCGAAAAATCCCTAAATTTTTAATTTCTTTACTTCTCTAGCATTTGCATTATTTGCCTTTTTTCTTTTTCTATGTAGAGGTTTTTTGTTTTGAACTTGGTTGTTTTGTTCCTCTGTATGCCCTGCACAAGATGTCTTTGAAAAACGGGAGATATGCTGACTCACAAGCTCTGGCTTTGATACCTTTTTATGGCCAGCAGAAAGAGGATCTGGACTTTTGATCAAGTCATGACAATCACCTGCTTGTGCATATGTCATTAGCTCTTTTCTTCTTTCAACTGCCTTCTCCATAATGATCTTTGCATACTCTAAAAAGTTTGAAAATGACACATCAAATCAAATGAGCAGGTAAAAAGGATAAGATGATTATTTTTAGGCACTGCCAACAAGAAAGACTAACCATATGTGCTTTTTGACTTAATTGGTTTAACCACACCAGTTTGTTTGTACTTTATATATGATATTTGCCATCTTTTCTCCCCATCCTTTGTTTCCAATTGCTGTCTGCCAGTATTTTCATTGAAATGAATAGCTGCCAGAAGAACCCTAGAAAATAAAAAGATTATGCTGATCCGTTGTTTACAGTGAAGCACAAACTTTGAAAGACACATACCAGCTCGTTGTTTCGTAGCGACATAGAATATTCCTTTTAATCCTGTATGCCAAATATCACATTATGCATAATAGAATTGCAGGATTATTCGATAGCAGTGTCTTTCTGGTAAAAAAAAGCTATTTAAACCAGGTAAATAACAAGCTTCCTTAAGATATCATTAACCAGGGCTATTATGTCTCATTGATATTTAGGAACCAATAAATGGATAACATGTGCTTGATTGTTACCTTGCTGTCATTGCCTGAAAGTGAAAATGTGTATGCTTTGGGGCAAAGTGGAGAACAATGTTATGGAAAGATTCAAGATGGCTTGTCTGTTCCACAGGTGAAAGCTTAGCTATGTCATTAAGAAGTTGTGTTTTGGTCAATTTGTCTTTCAATTCTTTATATGCAGCTTTTCCTGAAAAAAGAGTATTTGTGTTAATCAATGTTTGTTGTCTCATAAGAAACACAAACACAAATAAAGGCTTTTTAAACATGATCCCATCCAACAAGTTTTTGGCTCGCAAAGTCGTTTATTGTTTATTCTACATTTTTTGTCATGTTTGAAAATTTTTGCATAAGATACCTTTTATCAACCATTCACGCTCCATAGGCCCATGTTCACAGCATTTAAAAAGTTGTCCATCATGTCCTTCGTGCTTATTAATGATGTGGTTGAAAAGAGAAAGCCACTTTTCCTTGATTAGTTGTGGACTATCTTTGCTAGTTGATGCACACCAATATACATGATTTTTTATTGATGGCACCCATTCATTTACCACAGCTGTTGTCCTCTTCTTGCCAATTTCTTCTACCTTTCTTGCAATCGCTGGTAGGAATTTTATATCAGTAATTGAATTTCAAGCATGATTGTCATTTTATTTGGATTAGAATATAGCAGTAAATCAATGTTTCAACTCTTTAAGAAATAATCAATACAATAAAGCAATATTCATTTACAAATGAAGTTATAAATTAAATTTCAGTGGAATGTGTAGATATTTAAACATTTGGCCAACAATTGATATTTTAAAGAGTTGGAGGAGTTTTTACATCTGATTTGTAACATTCATTTATAAATCAGTTGAACCTTTCTGTCTATGAATTTATTTAATGCCAATTGCTATGCAGCAAAGTTACAAAGCAACTCACATTTTGCAACATGGAAGACATCAAAGCGGTGATTCTTGTCTGAATGACATTCTCTCATGTATTTTTTAACTCCAGCATGTCTGTCTGTGACAAGTGTCGAGAAGTTAATACCTGCAGCTTTCACTTCATCCAAGCAACGTTTTAAACCTTCCAGCTCCATGTGATATGAACCACCAACTTCATTGCTCTACACCAATAAAAAGGGAAATCAGTAGACAAAGCATCACATGCTTAGAGTCGAGGGAGGTCATAGTCAATCATTGGAAAAGCTCTTTTGGACTTAAACTGAAACTTTGCTTATAGGTTATACCTAAAGTTGTAAGAATATTTTAGGTCTCATTTCATAGTTACCTGTAGTGTATTAACACTGATTATTTTGTTTGATTCCAGATTCATCAATGAATAGCTCCCATATTTGGCAGTATGACCTGGAGAATCCATTCTGGCATCACCTCCCAGTGTTCTGATACCCTGACTGCTTCTCAAAAGTTGCTGTTGAACAGACTTCCAATGTTCCAAAATTGAGGGAATCAAATACAGTTTTTGGATCCTATGATAAGTCCTCTCTGTGAAGCTTGGTGTTTGCATATTGTGAAAAAGTAGCAATATTTTTGCTGGGGAGCACCCTGACAACAATGTACTTGCAGCAATGACAAAATTTCCAAGTGGCATATCACCAATTAGTGGCTGACTTCTCCATTTTCTTACATGACCTTGCAGACATGATGCTTCAACTTGTACCATTGAGCCCACCAAGGAGGTTGAGATATCAATACAGGGACCAAGACAAACTGAGCAAATTGCGAAAAGCTGCAGGAGACATGACTCAAATACCAGGAACTTTCTTTCAAAGTGAGGTGGAATCTCCTTTTCACATTCAGACTCGGCAGATGAGAAAGATGATGCTTGAGGATCCCAGTTTTCACTTTGTGATCCACTGCTGGTTTCAGATTCTACCTCAGAAAACTCATGGGACTCAGCAAGACCACTGCTCAATTGTGGTGAAACTGTAGATAAAAAATTTTAAAGAGGAACACCATCTCTTAATTATCCTCAGGCATAAATTACTGTCTATTGTGCTCTCAGACTTGAACTACTACCTCCCCCCCCCCTTAAATTTTATCTACATTTAGCCTGTATACTCTCTTTTCTGTTTACCTGCTTTTAGGAAAGTCTGCAAGGAATATTTTTCTTGTATGTTGAATGATCTAATCAGTTGACAACATTTTGACAGAAATTACTCTACAGTTGACAGAATTCAAAATCCAAAAATAATTACAAATAAAAATGTATGACATGAGAGAAACAAATCAAATTTTACCTTCGTTCGCCTGATCTGGTACTCTATGGATACATAAAGGATGCATTTGGCTGTCTGTTTGTATGGCTTT